TTTCGCCAGGTCGTCAGCGCTCTCATTTCCCTCGATCCCGCAGTAGGCAGAAACTTGGGCAGGAACCCGCTGCAGGATTACTTCACGACCCTCGGCGATGTTCAACAAGGTCTCCCATACCTATCTCAGCGCCGAGGGTGGAGGCCTCACGGCGGCCGCTCCTCCACTGAGTACTCAGGGCGGCTCGTGAGTCGGAGCACGCGACGACGTGAGTCGGAGCATTGGGGACGTCTCGTCCCGAACAGACGTCCCGAGCCTCTCCAGAGCCGCCCGCGGGGCGAATGTGCTGCTAGATCGACCAGCGTGCCGAAAATTTCGGTGAACGCCATTCGCCGAAAAATTCAGCGGCCGCCATGCGCTGAATTCAGCGTATACGAAGTTACGCCGGACGTGCGCTAAAATTTCCGGGACAATCTCGCCACTACGCCGGACATATTCGGCTTAACTTGTACTTTTTCCAGTCTGGTATCCACAATTATTGGCCATTATATTTGTTGGCAAATGAATCAATGAATAAATACCTACCATGTTTATTAAATATTAGCTATTGGAAAATTTGTCACTTTCTGCCTAACTAATCAATAAAGGGTGCATATATTATACAATGCATCACTGATGCAGTGTCTAGGTGGTGAATTGAAAATATAAAAAGATGCAGGCTGGGAGATTAACCCTATTCCTGGCGGGCTCCGCCGGGACAAGAAACTGGCGGGGGGGGCCGATTCGGCCCCCCCCCCTGAGATCTCGAGAACGAAGCAAGATAGCGACAAGCGGTAAACGGCATCGGATACGCACGGCCAAGATCTACAATTTTTACTAAGGTCATTTTCAGGTCAGGTCAAAGATGACGTCACAGGGGTCGAAAAAGTCAAAATGGCGGCACTAGATATGGAGAGAGTTTTTCTCGAATAACTTTCGATTTAGTCAAGATAGGAACAAACTAAGGGCATCATCGTGATCCTCTTGTCAATCCGAATCGAATGCTGTATATGTTGACCTCGAAAGGTCAAGGTCAAAGGTTGACCTCAGGTCACGTGACCTCGAGGTCATCATGTATATCATTCGATGCGTCTTGACGAGCTGAACACAATGAGACCATCCACGCGTCTGTATCTTGTTCCTGTACGGAGTTATTGGCCAAAAACCTTTGGTGACCTTTGATGACGTCACATGACCTCACAGCTGCCCAACAGCAAAACAGACCTCAAGGTAGTGAAGGTTGATCGTATATGAAGTCATGTATGGTATATGGGGCCATTCCGACCCGTTTTAGTGGTAAAAACAGGGAGTTGATTTTTCCCCCATTGACTTATAATGGGGAGGTCGCGAAATTGACCTGACCTTAGGTCACCGATATCAAAATTCCGAGATATACAAATTGCACATACTGGTACCCTAACTAAACCCTGAAGAGAAGAAATTGATCGGTCAAAGACTCTAGCTCTGGCGTGATTGCAAACTTTTCTGAGGTAGCGTCACCAAACCGCCTCTGGTGACCTGACCTGAGGTCAGATCAACTCAAAATTTTCAGACATGTTGCGTAGAAGCCTTTTAGGAAAAGTCAGAAAATTTGAGCTTCCTAGCTCAACGCGTTTGGGAGATATAACCAAAAAACCTCAGGGGGGGCTCCTGAGGGCCCCCCCCCCGCCAGGAATAGGGTTAAGGTCCTTTGTGGCACACCAAGCCCACTGCCTACCCAGCCATACATAGGGCTATACCTATCTAATTTTACTTTTTGCACCCCTCTAAAAACTGGAGAAATTGAGAAAATAAAGATATTAAAGGAAAGGAACCATCCTCCTTAGCTTGAAAAAAAAGAAACTACACAATACTAAGAGTACTTTTTTACACAAAACATTTCTGCATTACACCTGACCACATGTTGATTCAGGTAAGGTTAGGTTACATTAGGTAAGCTTAGGTCAGCTTAGATTAGGTTTTGTTGTTTTTGCTTGAGGTGTAGCTGTTTTTAAGGAGTGAATGATTATGTCAACAAGTTTCTAGGTTGATATATGGCTTGTGATAATATGGTGTGGTTTTTATTGAATTTTGAGCAGCCAGCAGTAAGGATAACCTAATGGTGCATCCGATGGGTGGAACTAAAAGCTAATAAGAAGAAGAAGAAGATGAGCCTAGGCTAGGGTGCAAAAAGGCAATTTCACCATGCAAAGGAAAAATGCATAGTCCATGAAATGCATTCAATGGATTGATACTCCCTCAACATGTAACTTCAAAAGAAATTCCGCAAGTAAATTTATCCATTCCACAATTTGCCACATTTCCAGAAAACCAACAAATTTGAAATTTTGGAGAAAATTTTAAAAGGAAAAACATTTTGGGTATTTTATGATGTGCGAATGAACTAGCAGAAGCTTGATCTAGCATCATTATAAAATCAATTGGCCTTTGGGTAGGTAGGTTATACTTTAACCACCAAGGAAAGTACGTATCTCAGACTGATGGGAGAAAATGTAATATAAAGACAACAGACAACTAGATTTCAAAGTTCATTTTTGTTTTTGGAGGATATTAACTGGCATACCTATCAATATCATGAGGCTGATGACATCATAGTGCCTAGTGGAGTGAGTACCTAATGTGTCATCAGTGCAGGGATTACACTGCCATCAAATTCTTTATATTTGACTGGTTTTCCTCCTGGCCACCCCAACACATATTTGGTTTTGGCTCCTTGAAAAAAGCTGGGTTACAGCTCACCCAACTTGAACTCACCCCACCAAAAAACGTAGATTGTGATGGGCCGCCGACTTGATGAAATAAGGCACTTGTTCTGGTCCAGTCATAGATAAATCACAAAGGACAAATCACAAGTAATCTGGCAAGGCTGTATCAAAATCTTAACAAAACGCATCAACTCTCAGTTCACGCTTGCCTCAAACGCTTCTTATTGTTATACTTCTACTGCTTCTACTGCTATTCAAAAATTTGCCAAGGCCATCTATAGAGCAAAGCAAAACACTGTTCTGTTTGTCCGTACGCAGTAATTTCCGCCTGGCGGACCAATGAGCGTTGGTGACAGAATGGCGACAAATGGTGACTGTGTCACCATTGCATTGCGCTAGCATGGGACCGCACTGGCTCGTTTCTCAGCCGGACCACTTTGCTTACGTGAGAGTTTTGCTGATTCTGCTCATAGAACACATATCGAGCAAACGTTGAGGGACGGTAGAGATGCAACTTTTGACAAAGAAATGTAGAGATGCAAGTAGAAGGTATAACAAATGCAGGATCCTACTTGCTCGCGTGTTACAGGCCCTATGCAAGATGCAGTCAATATGAGTATGCGACAAGAATGCAGCCTCTCAGTCACAATATTTGTCACCGGGCACATCATATTTTGTCACCATTTACAATGGCACAATGGCAGCTTTTTTCAGCCCTGTGGGAGCGGACGGCGCGGCGCCGGGTACGGCAGGAAATTCAGCACACGTTTCTCGCTCCCCTCTCGTGGAATTATAATCAGCCAGACATCCGGTAAAACAGCAAGACCCTGTTCAGATTCATACTGATTCATAATACAATTATAAAAGGAATCTATAAGACGTTGGAATGCAATGCATCAGGTTTTTATTAAAAAACAAACAAACAAACAAACAAGCTATGTACGTACTTTGCTGATTATACCAAGGTAACACAAGGGAGCAAGCCTGGGATGAATAGATATCAACTTAGGAAGAAAAAAGCGACGAACAGCTGTGAGATTATAAACTTCTGGCGAACTGATGCGGTGTCGCTCATTAAATTTGAGAACTAAGGAGTTTAGGTTGTGTCAACTTACAGTAATTACAGGCCCTCATTAGACACACAGAATACAAAATGACAGCGCAATTTCATACCCGCTTGGCAAAGGCAACAAATTGCCTATTCTGAACAAGCCTGAATGCAAACGAATGTCGATATGAGGCCCAGCGGGATCGTTCTAAGGGCTTAGAGCACTCGATGGCTATGCAAAACCATGAAAATGCACTCCCCAAAGTTGAAACAATCTTAATCAAGTTGGATGTCAGGCAACGTAACCAGATGTGAATGAGACTTAGCGGCTCTTCGAAATATCGTCTTAAAATAACATTTTACCACTTGCATGGAATAGTTTTATCTTGGCTGCCTATGTATGCGCCAGGTCAGCGATACACAGGGACACCACATCGCCATCTCACGGGTCCACGACCCCCTCCAATGTCACGTGAGCGCAGCAGACAACCCTACACCGCGCCTTGGCGGTGAGATCGCGGGCGCGCTGTGAGGTAATCGACTTCTGCTGGGCGGGCGATGGCGCCCAACAGGGCCGGGTATCGCCCATCGGCCGCCGGTCGGCCACTAATTATCGGCCCAAAGTGACACGGCACCGGGACGGGCGGCGCGGGCACGGCTTCGATCGATCAGTGGGGGGGGGGGAGGGCGGCAGAGAGCAGAGACGGATCCCCCAGAGAGACCGCGCCGCCGCTTCAGACTCTGAGCGCTCGGCTGTTCCTTTCTGACTTCTTCGCGTCTCTTGTCTATGTAGGTTTGTCATTATTCGCCCAATGGTTTCTTACTGACTCTCACGTGCATGTTTCATTCACAACATTACATTGTTTTTCTCGTCCAATACATAATCCAAGCAAAGACTGCATAATTCACGGGAAGATGATAACGAACTTACAATGTCATCGCAGTTTCTATTGCGTATTTTGGTACAACTCTAAGTGAGAAACGATAAAGGTAAAAAAAAAAACAGAACCAGCAAAATAAACCCACCGAGAGCCCCACCACCGCCATCTCTCACTCCTCCACTAAAACACGGAGAGAGACGGCGCCAAAAGCTGGGGATTTGTCCGACTCAACAATAGCGAAACGGCCAAGAAAGAAGAAACACAGTACCGCCAGCGGCCGTGCGTCATTGTTGAGAGAACGCGCTGACGTCTACAGACCTCGCCACCTCTTCACCTCAGGCAGACACACAGACACTGACACGTATAGGTACAAGAGACAGTACTTACCGGTACACAGGTACGCGGGCAGGTGCAGGCCGCCTCCCCGTTCGGCCGACTCTCACAGATTCCGTAGTGAGGACAGTGCTTGTTCTCGCATCCCTCTGAGGAGCGGTCAGAACACTTGTCAGACGTCATGCCTTCTAGTAACGCTGTCATCGGATGACTAATGATATACGAAATGATACAACGATAGGCCGAGGCTGAGCTCAGCAGTAAATGACAAGGGATATTTCTAGAACGTTGTCTGCTGTATATAGCTGCATGTAAACATCCCTTTGTCGGCGCTTAAGATTTAAAGGTGACAGCACATGCTGTAAATACGTCACCCCAAGAAGCGAACAATCAAGTGATGCTGGTTCACAAAAAATAGTTTGCATCAACAGCAAAACAGAACCAAAAGAAGAATCACGTCAAAGTGCAAACAACAGAGCGATGAGAAGTGAAACAAAGACTATGCAATTCCACAGTGAAAGAAAGGGAATGAGCTGCAATAAAATAAATTCAGTCATGCCTAATTTCGTGAGGCTAATAATCATGCTCCTGCAGAAAGATGGCATCACAAAAGTCCTCATCTATCAACTAGCTCCTTTTTCATTGACCAAAAGCTCTTACGCACATTTCAGGTAAGGGTGGCTATAACGAACGGGCCCCGCCGAGCTTGACACAGCCAACAGTTATTGCAACACGCATGAAGACAAAGGATTACACTGCCCTACTGAAGGCCTATTGTTTCAATTCTCCAATCCCCCGATCAGCACAGTTGTAAGCTGATAGCGGATTGATAGCCCACGTGCAATTTAGCAGAACTGCTTACGAAGCATTAAATCCATTCCTATCTAACAAAAGACACCGTTCAGATCATCTTTCGGAACGCCAATAGCTACGTCAGCTCCTTTTCAGCCCCATCCAGCGAACCTCGGCCACCTTTACACCTTTCCACTACTCCCGGATAAGCGGCTAAGGGCCTGACCCGGATCCCGACTCCCTCCCCTTCCCTCCCCGCTGTCCAAGCTGATATCGGGCTCCCCACGTCCCACTATATTCTGGGAGACAGCGGCGCCGGTCGGCTCGGGTCGTCCGGGCTGGCCGGCCGCCGTCGGCCGCCCAGAGCGGGGCAGTGGAGCGCGCCATACGTGCCGAGACTGCGACACCGCCGGCAGCCCTGTCGGCTGGGCTCAGAGTCCTGGTTTGGCCGGACAACCGACCAATTGGGGACGATTCTGAGGCTGGCACGGCGACCGGTGACCTCCTGAACGCATCAAAATGACCACGGGGGAATACTGCGGTCGATACATGACTGCAGGTGCTTCGTGGTAGGACCAGCTGACTAAACTTGTTTTACTCAGCCAGTTTTAGCTTATTTAGATTATCACCAGCAGTCATGTGTGGCACAATCTGAGATAAAATCATGAAACTAGAGAAAGAATGTGAGATATAGAAGAAATAAGCACACATATCGAAATACACTGAAACGTGCAAGCGCCATTCCTAGATGCATGCGATAAGCACAAAGCACTTGAAGAACATACCGTCACCCGGCATTGGCAGAGTCATGTCGATTTCAGGACTCGGAGTGAGACTAACGTTCGCTAGAAACGGGGCACCGGGGAGGGCACGTGAGAATATGCAGCGCTACTTGCAAGGCGTTAGTCGTCAAAGGTGGGTAAATCCCAATTCAAAAATATGGAAGTGTAAGTACAAGCATTATGTACTCTTCTTCCCGCTATATGGACTGAAGCCATGTGAGCCATGAGCGTTTTATGTAGTGCACTGATGGAAGGACTTTGGGTTAGTCGGCTAAATAAATGCAACGTATACAAATGAACGTCTAGCCCCATAATTTCTCGATCAAAATTAAATTTAGGAAGCTGCTGAGCTTGCATCATGATCAAGTGCCGAGCATATCGCAAGAAACTGGTGACTATCCGATACACGCATGCCCCTCTTGATCATTATGACATAGTGTTCACTAGAGCTTTCACAGCACCCCTTCAAACTCCACAGGGGCACACGTTCCCACTTACTGCAGAGTCCGATGTACTGCACTCGCAGATCCAGCCTCTTCTCGCAGGCCTCCAGGCGCAGTTTACACTCGTTGTTGTACGAGGTACCGTCAGTGGCACAGACGGGACTGTACTCGTCTGAGCACCGGGGACAGTCACAGCGGGGCTCCGAGCCCGGTCCGTTGGAGCGGCATACACCGCCGTACGGGCATCGGTGGGTGGCGCACGGGTCCTGGGTGCCTGAAGGAGAGAAAAGAGAGGTCAACAGGGCATCAGAAGACAGCGGTGGGTGGCGCACGGGTCCTGGTTGCCTGGGGGGGGGGGGGGGTGGAAGGTTAGAGGTCAGAGGGCATCACAAGACAGCGGTGGGTGGCGCACGGGTCCTAGGTGGGGCATTCCACGATAGATCGTACCAGGCCCGTCACCCTCATCTCTCAGATTTTAATGAAAATCGGTCCTAGGGGTAATCATAGGCCCCAAAGACGCCTGTCAAAATATCAGACTTCTCAGATCAAAACTTTTTGAGTTATATTGCATTACATTTTTTTAACTTCGGTTCGTAACGGTGAGCTTAATGGCCTATAACTCAAGAACGGGTTAAGCAACCAACAAACAGTTAACAACAGTAAGCTTGCGATGAATCAAAAATTAATATTACTATTTAAAAATTCCAAAGAAAAATTTTCATTGTTGAGCAAAAATCTTAATCTTTTTTCATTTGCATCTAATGACTTTTGGGACCAATATTTTTCACATTTTTATTTTTTCAAAATAAACTTCATGTCATTGCAAATCGACATGCAAAAAATTAGAAAGGTGTTCTTTCTATAAGTTCCTCATTTTCCCACAAGCAAAATGGGTTTCGGAGGGGTTGATCCGACCCCAGCACGCCGTTTCGCTTCTAATAGAGCTAGAGCCTCGCGGAAAAAACGAGCGTGTGTGCCGTTACAAGTCGCAGCGATTGGTACCCGATTTTAAGGTCCCAGGTTAACCGGTAGCGTCTGAGGTCAGCTCAAGTGACTGATGTTACGGGTTCGGTTTTTAGTAAATAACTTCGCAAAAAATGGCCGCAGAGCCGCGATTTTGGCATCATTGTGTTCGCCTAGCTCAGGTGCATCGAATGGTATACTTTTTGCTAGGGTGAGGTCAACTTAAGTAGTTGACCTCGGGTCAAGGTCAGGTCAGAGCCCCTCAGGTCACGAAGCTGGGCAAAGGGTATCATATGGCATATCATTCGATTCGGAAGGTCTTCCCGAGTCCATTGGTGGCTTTCCCGACTCTCTAGCTCCATTTGATCGGGAGTTATTCACGAAAAACTCGTACGGCCCTAGTGACGTCATAAATGACGTCACGCAAGGTTAACAATGCAAAAGTGAAGCATAAGGAGTGCATGAAATCACGATACCATGTACGTGAGATAGTTTTAGATCATTCTCGGCGCCAAAATAACAGTTTTTATATTTCCCCATTGACTTATAACAGTGATGTCACGTGACCGACCTGACCTCATGTAACCTTAAAAAATTCCTAGATATTAAAGTTGTGAGATCTCTGGAGGACACCATGTATGCGTCCTGTAACTTTCATCTCGGACAGCTATGGTCATTGGCGTCCAAAACAATGTCAGAACCAAACAGCCTTTTTCACCCTCGCGCTTATAGGAAAGAGGGTTGGATGAACCCTCTTTCACTTTTTTCAGATGACTCAGACTTCAATTGAAATTTCAGTAACCCGTGATGTCACTAGGCAGCTTTACCACCCCATTTATAAGCTCCCCTCCCGAAATCACTATTCGAAACCGTTATCGTGACGTAAAATAAATACATTTATAGAAAGAACACCTTCCTAATTTTTTGCATGCTTCTTAACAATGAGCCAAATATATTTTTAAAGAAATAAAAATTCAAAAAAATTTGGTCCCAAAGTCCAAAAAATACAAATGAAAGAAAACTCTATATGTCATGTATCAAAAATAGCGTATTTTTCGAAATTTCAAAAATACATATTAATCTCTGTTTCATTGCAAGTTCAATGTTATATAACATTTTGCATTCAAATAATCCGTCTTAGAGCTATAGCCCACCAAACTTAGCGCTGCAAAGCAAGATCCAAAAAATGTTATACACCATAACTCAAAAAATACTTATCTGATAAGCCTGAAATTGTTACAGGTGGATTCAGAGCCCCTGATTACCCCTGAGACCAATTCTCGTCAAATTCCGAGAGATGAGGGTGTCAAATTGGAAAAAAGTGGTACGATCTATCGTGGAATGCCCCAGGTGCCCGAGGGGAGAGGTGAGAGGCAGCACATGAGAGGTCAGCGGTGGGTGACGCATGGCGCACAGGGTGTCTGGAGAAAATCAACGCCAACAAAACAACAGCTCACTTTATCATGCGGTTTACTATATCCATGTATCATGAGAATACAGATGAGACATTTCACCCACGCAGTCATTTATTTCGAAGCGATGTTACTAGCCACAAGAGAAACGTTTATCCTCAATGTTGTTGAGCTCCACAAACACTTGAATAAAGGCCGCAGAATAGAGATGCAGCTCAAGATGACCCTTGGGTACTAGTGGTCTCTTCCAGATGCATTGTTTGGAATGAATTACTATTGAGACTCTACTTGGTCCAAAAATACGTAACATCCAATGACGACGTAAGGCTCCTAAGTGCCAGAGCTCTACACTCTGCCTCATTTTAGGCATTGCCTGTTTGGCCCGCGACAAAAGATCGACCCCGCGGGACCTCATTTCACCAGGGCACGGACCTTTTCCGACTGGAGCTGCCGCCGAGCCGACCGGCCAGCCGGCCACGATAAATAATAGCAAATTGGCGACATCCCGCGGCCAACTGGTGCGATTACGGCTGTCGTGACGTCACAGTCGCTGATATTTGCGCCCTCTAATTATCCATGGCGAGCCGCAGCCGACCGGCTTATTGGCTGTCCGGGGGCGTCGTTTCGACCCAGTCGAGCGTGGCAGCGACCCTGCAGCCGGCGTCCCGACACAGAGGTGCTGAGACCGACAAAATGGTTCGGTCAATAGGTTCAGAGTCGGCTGAACTGCTGGGGGCGGGGGCGGAGGCGGCTGCGGGGGCGGGGGCAGGGGCGGCTGCGAAGTTCGCGTTCGACGGCCCGCCCCGGCGCGATACCGTCTAATTTGCCACGAAGAGCGCGGCCGGAGCGGCTGTAAACAGGCCGAGTTATGGACCGGTAAATTCGGCCAGCACTGGCGATCACGAGCGGCACTTACACCGCATCAGCAGCACCGCTGATTTACGCTGATTGAGCCCAGCGTCAGCCAAAGTGGCCCAAAGTGCGCACCAAACTGTGCCAGAGCTGCAGCGGCAGGTAGGCAGCGGCGATAATGATTGGCAGTTAGTTGGCCAATGGGGGGAGGGACCTGTAGGCGGAGTGGGCAGCTAGCAGGGCTGTGATTATAGGCCAATGTCACAAAAGGGGCGATTGCTCAGTTATGAGTTTGTTCAGGAGTCAAAACTGAGCTGAGGTGGTCAAAGTTTTCCGGTCACTGGACAGACAGTGAGATCGACAGCACTGCCACTAAAAGTGAGGTTCGGGACAACTTTGTTACAGGCACGGCACATTTAGGTATGTTGTGCGGCAAATGAGGAAACATGCAATCAAAGCATCCATTCATTGGTTGTTGTTTTTTTACTTGCATAAGAAGCTGATTCCAACAACACTTCGTTGTTCTTTGAAACTGCAGATAATGCCTTTCCAAATAATGCATAGCTTTATGTCGCAGCCAGCCAAAATACAAATGTGAAGTAAGTAGAACAAAATGAAAACCCTAAACGTCCTGACATTCGCGGGGTGGAGCAACTGTCCTGCACATTTTGCCACCGTGCAATCTCGACGAACAGAGGCGAAACGTTAGCGCCCGTCTCAGAACTTCATCAGTTCCTTGTTCCGCCACCGACGGACAAGCGAACCGGTCAGTTGGCGTCGCTCCGCCAATCTCCGGACTCTGCGGATTTCCGCCGAGTGTTCTCCAGTAATCCCGGACTGAGGCGCTGAGCAGTGTCGACCTGTTCACTGCTGAGCCGGGAGCGAGGTGGGATCCGATCCTGCAGCAGCGTCAGCTGATTCAATTGGAGACTCAATCTCAACTACTGACCATCCATCGACCAATGTTTCCGCTTTCAGAAGCTCCAAATCTCAGCCTCTAGCCTCCTAATCCGGGACTTGTAGTTGACACCACAAACACGTTCCCTGATCTCCGCTCCAATCTGACCTGACCCGACCTTAACACCAACTCCAGACAGTAGCTCAGTTCAGACATCTCCAATTCACTGCGGCAGACATCATGCACCGCCCGGCCGGTCGGTCATCCGCCGGCGTCTGATAAGGTGACACGTGTCGACGGGCTGCCACCGTGGACTCCGACTCTGCCAGATGGATGATCGGCCCGGACACACCGCCGCCAAGTTGGCAGGGCCGCTCGTTTGGAGCCCTGCGCCGCTGGCCGGCCCGGCTGCTGAAATGACCTCTGGTGTGACGACGGAATACGAGCGTCATCAGGGACCCGAGTTCTGACGAGCCCTGGCCGGCTCTGACAAACGAGCTATCACGCTCTGCATAAGTTCGGATGGCTGAGGTTGGGACCTCCGCGTGCCGGCGCGGAGAGGCTTTGAATTATATTCCGTTTCAAGAGGTGTTGTTTAATTTCTGTATGAGGTGCCCTAAGCAATGCTCAGACTAAGTGGTAATTTGGTAGATAGAGTTAGACTGAATGATGAGTGACCACGTTTATAGTCTAGGGAAAGCGGAAAGTCGATAGCTTTTCCAACTTTTCTCGACATCGTTTTTTATCCCACCTCTTATCTGTGTGCTTCACTTCTCACACAAAGAATCGTGGGAGAAGTGAAGAAAATGTGGAGAAGTATTCTTTCACATTGAAAGAACACTTGTGCCACACTTGTGTCTGTCTCTGTGTGCTCCATTATCAGAGTCCACTCAAACCACAGTCGCTGTCATCCTAAGGTGACAACACTAGAATCAAAGGAGGTGCCATCATCACCAGACTGCCCCCTACCCCAGACAGACGCCCGTGTTACCATCTGCCGCGTCCCTTCTCCTCTACCGCGCTCCGCCACAGCGCTGGCCGGCGCAGCCAATATCGGCTCACGGGCCCGTCGAATCGGAGCGTTTTTGTCGCCTGGGGACCTATTGTGCCTCGGGCTGGCCTCTCCAAGGTCGTTTACCGGCGCCTCGCCATCGCTTCACGACCAAATCGCCGCGGTGGGAGGGTGAAATATGACATCGTGACGGGCCGCAGCCCAGGTAGAGCCCCAGCAGAGCGGGGGTGCCGGCAGCAGAACAGTCCAGCCCAGCTGCAGGCTCACAAACGGCGCCTGCCCCGCGTGAGATGTGCGTCGAGCCGCGGCCGCGTCTAATCAAGTTCAAAGTTTGGCAAGGTGGCGAATTTCCCATCTGGCGGCAGCGCAGGCACAGACGATGAGAAGAATTCTCATTTTCTGGCGAATATAAATGGCAGCCCGTTTGAGGCCACGCACAGCGCAGCAGTCGTCTGATAAAACAGGCCGAACCGAGGCTTTTGATGGTAGGGCAGAACAGTTGGAATTGGAATAGGAGCGACACATGATCGAAGATTTGAAACATGGGGCGTAAAGGTGAATATCCTATTCGGTAGCATCAGATAACCCAATGCATCTAAATCATAGCTCTCTCGCTAGTCTAGTACGACATGTATAAGGAGATAAAGCATACCTATGTAAGTGGCCTGAGTTGAGGAATAACAAGCACTTATGTTAACCCGCGCGGGGCTGGGGTCTCCAGCCGAACGCGCGGGGCTGGGGGGGGGGGGTAAATTTTACCCCCCCCTGTTATCTCCCGAACTAATGGTCCGATTTGGAAAATTCAAACGCCAATCGAAAGCTCTCATCACGAACTACTAAAAACATGTACTTAATTTAAAGTTTGAGGTCAAGGTCAAGGTCAGGTCAAGGGTACAAATTGCAAGTTTCTACAGTATCGGCCTTGCACCGTAGTTGCCGAAGAATGGAGTCATGGACTGAGACTGATCACCCAAAACGTGTTCTTAGGCTACCAAGACAATACTCGTTGCATACAATATCATTCAGAGGTCAAGGTCAAGGTCAGGTCAGGTCAGGTCAGGTCACCAAAAAACAAAATATAGAAAAGGGCATGTGCGACACATGTTTTATGAGTCATTTTACTCATAGAATTCAATAGGCACACTCAATAGTGATATGGACCACCTCTGGATGAATTTCAGGTCGAGGTCAGGTCAAGGTCAGGTCAAGTGAGGTCAAATTTTGAAGTTGGTTGTTAAGGCCTAAAAAGGTGTCTATCTGATGCAGTTTTTCACGGCGAATCGAATGGTGCTATTTTTGTTTCCGTACGAGGTCTAGAACTTCCAAAAAAGTCATTTTTCAAAAAATTTGTGTGTCGTGACGTCATAAAATTTTGAATAACTCCCACATTTTTGAACCGATTCTTCTAAAATTTGGTATGTAGGTGCACACAGACCACTTCTCTGACATATATTCCGGTTTTTTTCGATAGACTCAAAATTTTGGATTTTATAATGATTTTCCCAAAAAAATCAGTTTTTTGAAAAAATTTAGGCCAAAATCCAAAATTTTCAAAAAACCGAGATAGCCATTTGATAGACAAAGTAAAATTACGTATAACCTTTTTTGTTACGTCTTAATTCCTTTAAAAATGAAGATGTTAGCGGCGTTTGAACTTTTGCCGTTTTTGAGGCGAAAATGGCGAACATGACGTCACTAAAACGTCAATTTCTCAAAAATTTTCCGACGGATTTCGCTCAAATTTTCAGGGAACGTGTCAAATTGATGTAAGAAAAGGTACTGAAAGTTTGGCGGCGCTGCGCGCCGCCGTTTTTGAGATATCGCAAAAATTCGCGAGGGGGGGTAAAATTTACCCCCCCAGCCCCGCGCGGGTTAACCCGCGCCGGGCCGGTGCTCTGAGATTCCGCGCCGGGCCGGGGGGTGTCTGAACACCCCCCCCCCTTCTAACTCGGCTCCTGGGCCACGTAGCGACACGCGGTAAGCGGCAATCGAAAGAACGTCCAAAATAAGGACGAAAACACTTCGGTCATTTTTTGGTTCAGGTCAAAGGTCAGGTCACCAGAGGTTACCAAAGGTCAAATGTTCACTATTTCAACATTTTGGAAACTGCCAACCGCTATCTCGGGAACCGATAGAGCTACAGCGCCGCGGAAAAGCGCATTCGATAGCCCTTTTACAGACCTTTCTGAGTAATGTTCTCACATTTGACCTCAGGTCAACGGTTTAGCCTCCAGAGGGCAAAAGCTCAAAAAATAGCCGTTTTTACGAAAAACGTTTTTTCGGCAATAACTTTTGACTCAAAAGAGCCATGACATTACTTTTGCCACCATCGTGTTCCTCTCGTCGAGACGCGTCGAATGAACTATAATTTGACCTTGAAAGGTCAACTTGAAAATTTGACCTCAGGTCAAGGTCATGACCTGACCGGAAAAGGTCATGTTGCATATCAGTCGATCCGCAACGTCGAGCCGAACACATCTAAGGCGTTTTCAGCGCTCTAGCACGTCTCTATCAGAAGTTATTAGCGAAAAACTGTTAGATTCTGTTCGTGACCTGAGATGACCTGGGGGACATAACGAGGGGTCACAGTTACCATTTTCCGGTTCAGTGTGTCCATTGTATCTACATCTCGATGTTCGAGAGTGTCTAGAATAGCGTTCGTGCAAAACAGACGCTTTTCAATTTTCTCCCATTGACTTATAATGGAGAGGTCGCAAAATTGGCCTGACCTTAGGTCACCGATATCAAAATTCCGAGATATACATTTTATAGATAATGTTGCTCTAATCAATCGCTGAAAGTTTCAAGGCAATCGATCAATCGGTGTAGCTATGACGAGCATTCTTATTTTTTCTGAGGTGAGGTCACTTGGCGTGACCTGGTGACCTGACCTAAGGCGACCTGGGTCTGAAATTTTTACAACATGTGCGGAAATAATGCACAAACAGGTTTTTGAGATACCTGCGAAAAACCGCAGGGGGGTGTTCAAACACCCCCCCCCCCGGCCCGGCGCGGGTTAAAGGTCAAAGCATCTTTCCTATCAACATTACAAAAGCAATATTACAACGCCATCAACAAACCTTTTTTACGTAATGCACTAACTTACTTAGAGCGTGATCTGGTGAAATTTACGTAAGATTTATTATCTCAATTCGAGAGAAACGAGCTAATATCATCCTCCGTGCAATTTATTTGGGAATTCGTGCCTTAAATTGGAACTGGTTGACAGCACAATTAGAGATTGAGGCGGTAGTCAGCACTTTAGGCTTCGTTGACACCAATGTCTGTCCTTGTGTGACGCTGAAACCGCAAATGACCTGGGTCACAGGGTACAGCGATTGACCTTTCACGACAGGTAACTCCTCACATATGGGGGAGGATTATCAAATCACAGATGTATTTGCAATATTGGGTATTTGTAGTGACTAGTGAGAACAAGAGACCAATGCCAAAAGTACTATTTTAACTTGAAAACATTAGCAAAAGCGCAATGGAGCTAAGAGAACGCCTATCCCCACGCAAACGTTTTTATTTGATGAATCAATTGCCGCAAGAAGCAATGCCTTCCGTACGGATGAGGACTGCACTGCTAAGCACGGTGCGGGGTGTGAGTTTGGGTGCAGGTGAAGGTTCATGTGTGGGTAATTGTGCTGGTGTGGGCACAGGTGTGGGTGATTTGCGGATGCGGGTACAGTACAGGTGTGGGTGATGTGCTGGTGTGGGTGCAGGTGTGGGTGATGTGCTGGTATGGGTACAGGTGCGGATGATGTGCTGGTATGGGTACAGGTGTGGCTGATGTGCTGGTATGGGTACAGGTGTGGGTGATGTGCGGGTGCGGGTATACAGTACAGGTGGGGGTGATGTGCTGGTATGGGTACAGGTGCGGGTGATGTGCTGGTATGGGTACAGGTGTGGGTGATGTGCGGGTGCGGGTATACAGTACAGGTGGGGGTGATGTGCTGGTATGGGTACAGGTGCGGGTGATGTGCTGGTATGGGTACAGGTGTGGGTGATGTGCGGGTGCGGGTATACAGTACAGGTGGGGGTGATGTGCTGGTATGGGTACAGGTGCGGGTGATGTGCTGGTATGGGTACAGGTGTGGGTGATGTGCGGGTGCGGGTATACAGTACAGGTGGGGGTGATGTGCTGGTATGGGTACAGGTGCGGATGCGGGTGCTCAGTGCTCACCACAGACGCCGTAGTGCAGCGCGTGCATGGCTCGGCCGCTGCGGCACCTCTCCAGCTCCAGGCGGCACGTGTTGTCGTACGTGCGGCCGTCGCTGGCGCACACGGGACGCACCACGGGCTCGCACGTGTCCGGGCACGTGCAGCGCGCCACGCCGCCACGGTCGATCTCACAGCGCTCGTACTCGGAGCAGCGCAGGGCCGAGCACGGATTCACACCTGCCGTGAATAAGAACCGTGCACTGTTGACCTCGTGCCACTCGAAACTCACGACACAGGATGGGACATCGTGGAGTGAGATGAGCCCACAAGTTGAGCTCAGTTTAGAAGCTCTCTCTACGTCACAGCTTGGCTGAACTCAGACGTGTAATCGCGTCGTGTGATGAGGTGTCCTCGGAGAACGGCTCTAATTAACCGCCAGGGCTGAGCTGGTAGAAATCAGGTATGCTCTGCAGATGACTCCCCGTCACCGCAGCGCGGCTCCCGAGATCTCATTGGCAGCTCTCTGAATGAAACCTAGAGCGAGACCGAATGCAAATGGAACCATAGCTGCAGTCGGGTCTCGTCCTATAGGTCTGCCATCGTGCCGTTCGGCTTTCGGCCTACCGATATGTGAACGGTATCCGGTGTTCAGAGTTACAAATGCCTGTGTCGGTGAAAGGTCAGAGGTCACCGTTCCGGCGATGAGCGGATCAGTTCGATCGCGGTGGACGATCTCCGCTCTACGCCGCACGGATGACACCCGAAATCCCGACATTCATTCGCCGCCCGACCTGCTATTCTGGTGACAGGCCCACCGCGCCATTGTAGTTTCATAAAGTCGGCCAGATGAAATACTCGGCCGGATTCGCAGCCGGAGCGACTGCCCGCGACTCGGCCGAGCCCCACTTCGGCCACAGCGTCTTTGTCGGGCGGATTTACGTTATAAATGTCGCCGGGTCGGAGTTTAATTAACAAGCGCTGACAGTCATAATTCTTCGATTAATTTAATCAGCAGCGCTGCCCGAGACGAAGTGTTCTGCTCCCTGCTTTTGACCTCGGCTTCGTCATCGCGAAACGCATGGGGATGAGCCACTCAGCTCCCTTGAGAGAGCATCCATTTAGCGGTGCTGCGTTTCTAGGCAACGCACAGGGGTGTGCATCACGTATGCTGACAGGATCACCTTCTGCGGTCACTGCTCTGACAGCATCAAAGTGCAACGCTGGAACTAGATGTAAGGGTCCGGCATTTAACTGTCATTTTAATTCCGATATCAAAAGTGAGCCTGGTGCTCAAAGAGATATGACTGGTTTCTTACGGCGGCGCTTAACGAAACGGTCACGTACCAGCAATAAATTGCCGTCCAAAGTTATTCGCGGCGCTGAAAGGATGGGGCTACCGTCCCAAAGCCGGCCAATTAATCTAATCCGCTACGTTTGAGCCAGGCAGCGCAAAACGCTGGAGCGGCCCAATTTTGTGAGCTGTAGGCGACAAATACGGAAGTGGAATTAGTGAGTGCCAAAATACATTTTACAAAATACATTTTACTCCCGTAAAATGTATTTTGGCACAATGCGGACGAATACTCAACGTGACACATCACTAACAACTGAAGACAGAGATAAGTAATTTCAAACACACAGGGCCTGTAAAGCAAAACTAACCCAGCGCAGAGTCATCAATATAAAAGCATTGTTATTTCTGAATAAACCAAATCTTTAGCAACCTATAACTTATTTTGTTGCACTGAGCGGCGTCAGAAAATATTCATATGAAGCTCTCACACAGTGCATCCATCATTACGTGAATAATGGGTGACATGTCGAGAGAGCACACAGGCTCCTGCACGGTTTCCTAGAACGGACCTCCGCCATCAGGCAGCTCTGTGCTCCACTTGCCGCCCAGATATACGAAATTCAGATTGAATTTGGACGACGCCGAGCGATGCCGCCAACGCAGATCCCGAATATAAATCCCCCGGCGCCACTAAAGGCTCGATGCACCACCGCCCGGAGCGTAGGACTTCTCCGGTGCAAATGACTACACTGAGCTCCTCTCGACGGCCACAGTGCAGAAGCGGCCGCGGCCTGCGGTCGTCATCCATCGCCGGCCGGCTCCAAACGGGTCGGTGACGGGAGCGCTTCATCTCGCCCGGCCGCGCCGCCGCGCCATCCCTCCCATGCGGTGAAATATAATGAACGTAAGAGCGCGCCGCATCAGCAGCCGTCTAGAGATCAGAGGTCAGCTCTTCAGAGTGCGCCCATTTCCCGACAGCTCCGACGCTGATGCGTACTTATGTCCGATCGGATAAGTTGAATCGTTTGGTTAGGCTCGAGCTCCCAGGTATATGAGATTGACTTTTTGAAGGTTGCTCGACTGCAAAGTTTTACTTCGTAGTTAGGCTTATAAATAATAAAGTTACTTACCTGTGTGCAGTGTGCACTTACCTATATAGGCAACAGCATTCTCGCAGAAAAATGAGAAAGGGCTCTATTTTCCCTGAACTCTTAGCTACAGTTCCGTGCGCGGTGCGTGTATAACACACACGGAAATGGCGAATGATGCTTCGTCCTTAGTGTACCTTTACATCACACTATCTCGGTTTATCCCATTCCATCCTATTTCATCCCATTTTCTTTACCACCTCACTTATACCACCACTTCTTACTCACCAGAGCTGCACTTTCCCTGGTAGATGACTTTGAGCTGACGTCGGCTGCGACAGGCCTCCACTTGCATGGCACAGAGCGACTCGTAGGTGAGGCCGTCGCTGGCGCAGACGGGTGCCACGCGTCTCTCACAGTGGTCGCTACAGCGGCACGAGGCCTGGCGAGAGGCGTCCAACTGGCACACCTGGTACTTCGGACAGCTCACTGAGGCGCACGGATCTGTGGAGAAAAAGAAGGGAGGGAGTTAGAAAGGGATGGTTTAGAGCAGAAGTGGTTTGGGGCGAGGCGGGGTGAAGAGGGATTGGGAAATGATAGGATGAAGATTCAGATGTATGTAGTGGCTTATGGACAGGGATGGTTGAAGGACACTTTTGAAGGAGATCTGTGGCATGAGCAGGGAGGAATATGGTAATACGACACAACATACAACAAGTGTTTGGTGGGGAGCTCACTTGCCAGCAGTAGCATAGTTGTTGTTATCAACAGCGACAGTTATCCAATTGTAACGCGTCAAATTATGTCAGAGAGCATTGATTTTGCAACTAGGCCGAGCCTGTTTATTTTACGGGGCGTTAGACCAGCGGCGAACACCACTGGACTGGTGTTACCGGCTAATTAGGGATCAACAATAAAGATAAAGGGTTTAAGTGCAAATGAACCGACACTGCTTAATGTTCATTTATATGGTAAGCCATCCCTGATGAGAATATTTGTATTAATACGGTTGCTTAGCAGAGCTTGGTAGTTTTTTGTGCGAGTTGTTTTAGGCTCTTCTCACTTGCGCATCAAACATTTGCAAGACTTCGGTGTCGCATAACCGCCAAAACTACATAAGCGGCCAGACAACCCCACCGGGGGCATTACAAAGACAGCGGTACTAATCTCCAGACACAACCCAGGCGTCCTGGCGCTGCGAGCGCAGCCGACCGCCTCCCTGCAGCCGCGGCGGGCCCACAAAAGACGCCGTTACACACCTCCGAATTGGCCGCGGCAGCGCGCCCGCCGGCCGGCCGCCGCCTCGGCGCCAACCTGGGTGGCGTTGTTTTTCTTGGTTAGATGCGGCGTCGGTGGCGGAAAAACAGCGCTGTGGAGGTAGCGTGACGCGCCGGCGGCTCTCCGGGGCGTCCGACAGACAGCCATCGGACGAGATCCGTCCCACTAAATTCAGCCGCCACCGCCGCCGCCGCCGCCGCCGCCGCGCCGCCGCGGGGCGACTTTGTTTTCCGGTGCTGGCCACCACCGTCGCGGCTCCGAGGAGATGGCCTCTCAGCGGGCCGTAAAGAAGTTGGATCTCCGTGGTGTTATTAGGATGGGACGATCAAACGGGACCGTCCTCTGACCAATGACCGGGAGGAGATCCGAGCGGCCCTGAAGGCGGGCTGGAGGCGGAACCAATCGAACACCAGCGGCTCGGTCGGCAGTTGACAACACGACGCTGGTGACTGATAGTCGGATTCGATGGTTGATTATGTACTGGGCACGGGTTAGTGGGCCAAACTCAGATAAATTGACGCTCAACAACTACGCCCACAAACGGGAGACCTTGGAAGTTACGCGAAGATGTGTCAGTAAAAGAGAAACCGAGTGTGGATTCATCATTCGGTAGAGTGCTTCACCAGCGCGTTTGTTACACCACAAACAGGAACGGCGGAAGATGATACGTACGGACTGACTTAGAAACGATTCAAACATGAATTCAGTAATGCCACATATTCATAACATATGTGGCATTGCTAAGATCATCGCTAGCATCGCTAGCTATCTTGAATGTTATCTTGAATCTTGAATGTAACTGAATACACTCCAGTCCGAGTCGCGTTAGCTTTTCAACCTCGTTTGGCTTAAAGTTCAGCAAGGCGGGAGCAACGAATGGGCAGCCGTTTCGAGCATTTACGACACGTAAAACTGCAGGTTTCATTTCAACAGGTGCACACGATTCGGTTGATCGAACGGTGGCAGTCAGGTCGCTGCAACAAGGCACGCTGAACAAATGACTTCCGTCTCCTGAAATTGTCCGTTGGCTTGGCCCGCTGAACCAGAACGACCCTCTATGTCACGCTAACACAATAAAAGATAGTCCATACAACTTGAGCCCTCGAGCCAGTCCACGTAAAAAAGATAAAAAGAAAACACACGCGCAATCGTCAATCGATTGAATCGCTTATGTAGGACGATGAATACTTTCATTCTAAAAGACACTGTTAAAAACCAACAGTGAATGTAGCGATAATAACATTTTTAGTTAATTGGTCTCTATGCATATTCATGGTAATGAGTGTGGTGTTTTTTTAATATGAAAATACAATTAATATGAGCACTACCAGACACTTTCAGGCCAGATAAATAAACAAACTATAAACATAATCATTATCCTCGTCGAGAGTCATCGGTTGTCAGGCAGCCGGGCGTCTTCTGGAAGAATAGCTGCATAGTGCACACATATCGCCTACTTTGCGGGCCGAAATGGCTCGTCATTTGCCCTGGTGCTTGATGGAGGCGGGATGGCGGCACCGCGCCGCGGCGAGTAGCTTCGTTTTACGCTGGGCTGCCTCCCTCCACGGTGAGACGGTCCGCGGTCAGGCCGCAGCAACACTGGCGAGATGGACTAGAGCGAGCGCAGAGGACCAACAGAGATGTGTGGGATGTCAAGGATCAAATTATGTAAAAAAGGCCAACAAAACTTCTAAATTTTGTCAATATGTGACAGTCAACATATTCTAAATATTTGAAGGTATAGACCCTTCTTCATGATAAATATCATTGCAATGGTTTCTTACCAACCAATCACCTGCACCAAATGCCAACAATTCTGTGCCACCAATATCCCAGCCGTGACTACACCCTGCCGGAAGGGCAGGGTGCCGGCTCATTGACGGCATTGGCCCAGATTGACACGCCTGGGGAGCAGGGCGGGTCTGGGCAGGGGCGGCGGCGGCGGAACGCGCTGCCGCCGGCCGCCGCAGCCATGTCGCCTATGACGGATGACGTTCCGGTCGACGGGTCGCCACAGCCACCGGCCGAGACTGCCGGTGGTGGGGCTCTGACTACGCCCTACTCTGTCCGTCGCGCTTGGTGTGGAGTGTGTGGAGGAAGATGGGAAGTCGTTTTGAGGAGAGCCAGTGGGTGAATGGACGAAAATGAGAAGAGGAGAGAGAGAGAGAGAGAGAGAGAGAGAGAGAGAGAGAGAGAGAGAGAGAGAGAGAGAGAGAGAGAGAGAGAGAGAGAGATCAATGAGGAAACAAAGAAGGGTGTATGAACTTGACAACCCCGAATATACGAAGTTGCGACACTACTATACCTACTCGAAGAACTGGGGTATAAAGTTAAAAGTATTCAATTTCCTAGAGATGGGAAACAGTGTAGGTACTAGTCAGACAGCTTATGTGTGCAAAAGACACGAGTCTACCTTCCGAAACCCAACCAGCAACTGCAATCGTAGAACCACGTGTAACCTGGCTAGAGGCCAGTGCAGTGGGTGGCAAGCTGTCATCAGCCATTTGTGACAGTTGCTAAGCTAAGCTGAGATTGATAAGCTATCTGCAATCCAATCTCATCAATAATCCAGAAATATGCGTTCTACTGAATCTGGTGTCTGAGGTCATTTAATTAAAGTAAGAAGTGATGATATCCATTGCCATAAAAATGATATTCAAAAAGCCTATATATTGCTTTATCTCATGCCTGACAAATAATTTTCATTCGACATTCATGGGGGAATGCATGGTTTCCGGACTACGCCAAGTACGCTGAATGTTTTTGATGCATTGCTTCCTTCTGAATTGTGACAAGTTCCGACTGCCAACCATTGAAGTAGCACACACAGTGCATGATAGAGGCATACGGTGGAAATAAAAATCCTACAGACGAATGGAAGGAGTTCGGCTGACAGCAATGTGTACTCATCGACAAGAATCCGAGTCCAATACTCGGACAATCTTTGCTAGCAGTCAACAGTGCAGACTGCCAGTAATGATCAAACTTTTGTCCGCGACCGGAGACAGCTGTTATTTGTGCTGAGCTAGCAAAATTGTGAAAACAAAGTTAGCGACGCTTAGACATGGAAAACAGCCAGAAGTGGAGGAATATATAGTTCAAGCGATAACATGTAAATTGACAAAATAATAATGCGTATATATCGGGAATTATTGTCTTCCTCTCACTATCGTATGTGAAGAAATACAAACAATATCATTATTTCATGGCAATGCAACGGCCACATACAAGCTGTGTTAACCCGCGCCCGGCTGGGGGTCCTGGATTTCCACGCCCTGCTGGGGGGGGGGGGGTGTTTGAACACCCCCCCCTTCTAACTCTGCTCCTGAGCCACGTAGCGATACGCGGAAGGCGGCGTTCGAAAGAGCATAAAAAATAATGAGGAAATCACTTCGGTCAATTTTTTGGTCAGGTCAAAGATCAGGTCACCAGAGGTCATTGAAGGCAAAATGTCGCCGATTTCCAGGTCGAATGTCGAAAACTTCCAAGAAGCCAACGCATAACTCGGCAACCAATAGAGCTACAGCGCCGCGGAAAAGCGCATTCGATAGCCCTATTAACGCCCTTTCTGAGTAATTCTCTCAGATTTGACCTAACGTCAACGGTTTTGCCTGCAGGGGGCAAAAACTGCAAAAATAGCCGATTTTTTCGGAAACAGTTTTCTGCAATAACTTTTGACCCAAGCCTTGTACGAGCTTACTTTTACCGGCATCGTGTTCCTCTCGTCACGACGCATCGAATGAACTATAATTTGACCTTGAAAGGTCAACTTGAAAATTTGACCTCAGGTCAAGGTCATGACCTGACCGGAAAGGGTCATGTTGCATATCAGTCGATCCGTATCGTCGAGCTGAACACATCTAAGGCGTTTTCATCGCTCTAGCATGCCTCTATCAAAAGTTATTTGCGAAAAACTGCTAGATACCATTCGTGACCTAAGATGACCTCAGGGCATAAATAGGGGTCACGGACACCATTTTCATGTTCAGTGTGTCTAAACCACTTGTAATTCAGTGTTTGGGAGTGTTTATAATGTCTTTCGTCCAAAAGAAGCGCGTTTCAATTTTCTCCCATTGACTTATAATGGGGAGGTCGCAAAATTGACCTGACCTTAGGTCATCGATATAAAAATTCTGAGATATACATTTTGTACATGCTATTGCTCTTAGCAATCGCTGAAAATTTCAAAGCGATCGGTCACTCGGTGTAGCTATGGCAGACATTGGAACTTTTTATGAGGTGAGGTCACTTCAAGTGACCTGGTGACCTGACCTTGCACGACCTTGGTCTGAAATTTTCACAACATGTGTAGAATTGATGTATGATAAGGTGTACCAAAAACGGCGGCGCGAGCGCCGCCGTTTTTGAGATATTCGCGAAAAACCACAAGGGGGGGTGTTCAAACACCCCCCCCCCCCCAGCAGGGCGCGGGTTAATGGAATTTTTGCTGGAGCGATGGTGGTGTAGCAGCAATTATGACGGTGTCGGAGTAATCAAATTGGAGTGGTGCCTGGAGTGCGCGTTTGTAGTGGCGCTTGCAATGATGCTAGAATAGCAATTGTAGTGATGTTTGGAGTGGCTTAGCAGCATCAAGTGATTTATGACAAGGAGACACAGCCCGGCTGAATAGCACTATACATAGTCGGAAGCTGAGTGACGCAACAGTTAGCCACCCACGATCTCAGAGTGGTGACAAAAATAGCACACTGTTAGCTGGCCCAGATGGCAATTTCATTGTCGTTCTGTTTGACAAAACAAGTCATAAACCATAAGCAAATATAGCTGCGTTTTTAATTTAACCGTTTTCTAACACAGAAACTTTCGGTATCAAATCGTGCAGTAAGAGTAAGGATGATTAGCCGTAAACGGAAATGTTTACTCACAAATTGGAATGGCTATTGAAAACTGAATCAGCTTCTCAGCAAGATGTTATATAGGTGTTACATAAGATGTTATATAGGCATACGTATTTCCAGTTATCCTCTCCCCAATTCCGTTCATCGTAACTCCTCGTGACCCCCACCCGAGCGGCGCTCTCTTGGGATACCACATCCTCCCACCTGGCCACTGCCGCCTGCCATTCTCTCCACTATACTCTGTTCCGTTTCAAGTTTGCAGTTGGAGTTTCTTCAGCAGATCGCTCCTCCGCTCAAGAATTTGCGTCTTAAAATGTAAGAGCTGTATATACAGAAATCACGCACTGCTTTCAGCAGGGCACTTCGACTGCAAACTTGAAACGGAACAGAGTATAGCTACCTCTGCCGTTGACTTTCCGAGCCCACTGAGGCAGACATGTCACCGTTTGGAGGTCGGCAGTCAGCAGCCAAATGCCGCTCATTAGCATGTGAGTGAGCCGGAGAGGCCGGGGTGGCCCCTCGGCCCCGGCTGTCTCCGTGTTCTGCAGTCGGGATGAATTATAGCCAGAGACGGGACTGTCAGCAGCAGGCTGAGCGCGAGAGAGCCGTCCTCTAAAGGCGGGTGGGCTGTGGTCCCTTGTTACTGCAAAATCACGACCGGTTCAGTCTGAACTATTCGTCAAATCAAACGAGAGGAATTGAATCAATGTATTAGTTTCCAGTAATGTAATTTGTTCATTTCAATTGCAATCAATAAGCATCTGATTTATATGAAAGACATTGCATTTCAAGAAATAAATAACGAGGAAACTTGTCACTTCCACTTTAGTGGACATGATTCACTGAACTATAAGTCTTGGGAGATTTGTCGTAAATCTCTGTTTGTCCTTGGTGCGTTCAAGGAGATAAAAACTGCCAATGGCCTCGTAACTCATTGACACTGATTTCGAGTGCAGTTTAAGTACGGGTCGTAAAGGCTGGGTTTCGAGCAATACAAGGTCGAACGAGTATCACTACGATTTCGGACTGAGCTATTTCAACACGAAAATGTATTTGCTGATTTCGAAGCTAGTCCACAAACCAATCCACATTATCAAAATTTTATTTTCTCAAGGTCAGCCGCAGCTAGTCATACTTCATTGAAGCGTTTCTTTTTTTAATAATGTTAAATAGTCGCTTAGTGTTTGATTTCATTGCTATGGGCACTCAATCAGCAGAACCAGTCGATATTCCGTCTTTTCATCATTTTTTTTCATTTTATAACCAGTTTCAAACATTCATCAATATAACAATAGCGAGAATACTTTGCCTGAGGCGAGTCTACAATGTGAGTGATTGTTTATAAGATCTGATGGCCAAGAGTTGCGAACGAAAATTATAATTAAAATCTAAATCTTTTTGTATTTCAGACGTTTCGACAACACTGTGCCATCGTCAGTAATTGATCTAAAATATTTCCTAAAGTCACAAATCACATTTTAAAAATAACATCAGCATTAAGAAATTACACATGGTAATGACATTTCGGTATTTTTACATTCGATCACGTTCGTTCCTCACAAGCGTGCTTCGTTTCAGCAATGATAATCTGGCTGTCGCTACTGCCATCGAATAAAATCCCCCTCTTGTGTTAAGTGTGTTCTTGGTCTTGATGTGTGCAGCCTCTAGTGCCCTCCTGATATTTTTGTTCATACCTTTCTCTAAAATTTCAGCCCCTTCCCACCTTGGTAAGTGCCCGGCCTCATCCACATGAACCACTATCGCATTACTTAACACGTGCCCCCTCACGTCTCTTCTGTGTTCCCCGACACGGGTACCTAGGCCCCTACCTGTCTCGCCTACATATTGTTTTTCGCAAACAGCGCACGGTATCTGATAGACTATGCTACTTTCGTGGACGTGATCCTTATCTTCGTCGCGTGCACCTTTTAAAATATCGCCACTTTTGTGTCCCGCACTTATCACCGTCTTGAATCCGGCCTGTTCAAGCTGTCGTGCTACCGTATCCACCTTTTCAAAATTGGGAATGCAGAGCAATCTACTCGATTTTTCTATTCTTGCGTTTTCTCTTTCATTAGTGTTTCGTTCACGAATCTTCTGGGCCTTTTTCTTCTGAGAAATGAGAAACCCTCTTGGATATTTGAGTTGCTGAAATCTTTCAAAAATGTGCTCCAGCTCGTCCTTTTAAAAGGTGCACGCGACGAAGATAAGGATCACGTCCACGAAAGTAGCATAGTCTATCAGATACCGTGCGCTGTTTGCGAAAAACAATATGTAGGCGAGACAGGTAGGGGCCTAGGTACCCGTGTCGGGGAACACAGAAGAGACGTGAGGGGGCACGTGTTAAGTAATGCGATAGTGGTTCATGTGGATGAGGCCGGGCACTTACCAAGGTGGGAAGGGGCTGAAATTTTAGAGAAAGGTATGAACAAAAATATCAGGAGGGCACTAGAGGCTGCACACATCAAGACCAAGAACACACTTAACACAAGAGGGGGATTTTATTCGATGGCAGTAGCGACAGCCAGATTATCATTGCTGAAACGAAGCACGCTTGTGAGGAACGAACGTGATCGAATGTAAAAATACCGAAATGTCATTACCATGTGTAATTTCTTAATGCTGATGTTATTTTTAAAATGTGATTTGTGACTTTAGGAAATATTTTAGATCAATTACTGACGATGGCACAGTGTTGTCGAAACGTCTGAAATACAAAAAGATTTAGATTTTAATTATAATTTTCGTTCGCAACTCTTGGCCATCAGATCTTATAAACATGTCTTACAATACTGAGTGATTGTTATTGACTACAAACTCGAGCAATGATCGAGTCACAGGCTCTGCTAACTTCGGCGCTGTCCTAAGCCCTCCGACGGTTAGGCCGTCAGAAGTTTGGCCAGCATCTTGAGCTGCCAGCGCCCCAGTGAAAGTCTGAGAGCCTAAATTTGCTGAAGATGGTGGCTGGATGTATTTATCGGTCATTGTCCTCTTATGAGTTGGCAGTGGTTGCAAAATTCATAACGCTATGACTGCTCTGGGATATGGTATGAGAAAGCAGTTTCATAAACGCATATTTGTAACTATCAAATAACGCTGCGATGTAGCTACAACACATATACACACCAAACCGGAGCACGTACCGCATTGTCCGTTGAACTTGACGGTGACGTTGGTCCTCTGGATGCACACCTGTCGTTTGAGTTCACAGAGCGAGTCGTAGGTCACCCCGTCACTACCACACACCGGCTTCCCCCCGAAGCTGGGGCAGTCGGTGGGGCAGCGGCAGCTGAATGTCAGTCCGGAGGGTACGCATCGACCTCCGAACGGACACCGCACGTCCCGACACGGGTCCGGCGACTCTGAAACACGGGACGCACGGCTCAGTCGGCGGTGAAACACGGAGCAGACACGGACGCTGAAACATAGAGGAGGTGTCGATCACACGGCGCTGAAACATGGAGGAGACGAGGGTTTGCGCGACCTACAGCCTAGAGAGTAGAGAGGTCACGGGGTCAGTGTGTGCTGCATTACAGACATAGTGTCAAGGTATAGGTCAACCGATACGATGCACATAGACTAAAGGGTAATGACGTACTTTATACACTACGTGTAACGTAGACTTTATGGGGTCATGTCATCAAATGCAAAAAGCAATAGGTCAAAGCAATATGGCGATTTTTATTCCATTAACAAAGGTTGGTGAATAAAGCAAAATGCTAAAAATAGAAGATTGTTGTGAAAAGAGTCAGACAAGTGTTTACAATCTATTACTTTGTACTCTTCACATTGTCGACAAATTGGGAAGGTTCGTCTGGCACGCCTCATTATTATATGCGTATGCACTTATGCAGCTATTTATGCAGATTGGTCATTGGTGCCCGAAACTCCTGAGCACTTGGTCAGATTTGGGCTAATCAGGTCCGGGCATAAGTTGCCGCAGGCTAATTTGAGCCGGCCGACTAAATTACCCCCAACTCGGCTCACAGTATGCCCTCCGGGAGCTCGCCCGGGTCGAATGTCAGACCGAATTGAAGCTCGGTGTGAGGATAGGCATAATACTGTGTCCCTGCGGTGGTGAATTTGCAGTTAATTAGACATAAAGTGACTACCCATTGCACGACGTAGTACGAAGATAAGGGACATTATGCAAGTTACTGTTCTCATATAAATGCTATACAATTTACCTTTCAATGTACTGTACACAAGCAAGTGAGCGATATTCAACTGCAAACCAAGATGCATCGAACAGTAATTATCTTATTCAACCATTTCTAAAATTCCTAGAAACGCGGGTTATGCGAGATGTTCTGAAAAGCCACCTTGTGTATCCTGCACAAATTCAGCGACTGCAGCGTTTTCAAGCCAGGCCGCAAGATATGCACCAATATAAAATACAAAGCACCCATACATATTCCGCAAATATTCCGCCAAATGCTTTGAGACCCACGATCCGCTGTCGAATCGCATCGTCAATCGGGCCACGGTGGCCGCCGAAAATGATCCCAATCGCGGCGCGGCAGAGGCGTTTGAATACAGATGGCGCACCAATCAGCGCCTCCGTGAGCCAGCCGGATCTGCTGACGCTGCAGCGGCGAACAGACGGCTTTGGCGCGGCGGGTCACGTGGTATCCGCCATAGGCCGCCCGGTAATGATCCCCGTAGGTCATGTGATACCCGCCACCGTCGGCCGCTGCCGGCTGGCGATTAAACGAGCGAGTCTGTCACACGGAACTCGGCGGAGCGGGCTCGCTGATGGGTATCGGCAGGACCCGCTCCGGTCATGGACGGCCATTTGTCGCTGTCCCTCCAGCGACATTTGTCCATCAGTCATACACCATCCAATGTCCGGATATCAGAAGGCTTGGTGGACTGGTGTAGATCACTGATGTAGAAGGTTCGCGACAGCAGTTTATGAAAACCGAGCGTCGCTTATTGTCATCATGGGAATGCTTGTGGACAGCATGACACAAATATGGCTGTTGAACTGCAGTTATTTTTCTAACAAACAATGGTCCATCATTTCTTTTTCATCCTCGAAGAGGCGAGCCTTGAAAGCCAGCCCTCCGCGTCGACGAGCAATGCGGTACAGCATACCAGCTAAGGTGCTGACTACCACTGCCATCTAGTGGCGGGGAGACAACTAAAAGGAATAGCGACGCCGACTGTAATCACCGTGACAGCGAGTTTCATTCTTACCAAATGTGATCGAACTTTGGCGCTGGTTATTTTCATAAGTGTCAACATTAATAAAAAACGAAAACTGCGGGGTCAAACGTTCATAGATAGGAAGTCAAAATTTAGGCATTGCATCATACAAGAAGATTTAGCATATACGTAGTTCATATTTGTATCAATTGAAAACTAGCACAGTAACAGCACCTGACTAGTTAGTGGATTACACAACGCACACCCACATGTGTCGGCTGCTGTGTCGGTCACGGCGGTACACAGAGTAATCAGAACGGTGCCGACACGTCCCTGACTGGCACCGGCTGACGGTGGTCGACATGCAACGGAGCGCTCACCCGACGGCACCACGCACCTCAGCGGTGTCGGAAAGGGTGAGCGCTGCATGCCGTCAGTAAGCGGTCAGCCGGGGGCGGGCGACACGGCTGGTAGATAAAGAGACAGTGGGAGAGACATCTGCCCGGTCAGAACAATCACAACAGTCGCTACAAGCAACACAGACGTCTTCGTCGCGGACACGGTCGTCACTGCCACTGATACAGACACCTATATATTTAGCTGCCAAAATACCCTCTTCGCACACATCCTTTTCACTGCCCCGTCACCATCCTGTCACCGCCCAATCACCAGTCATCACTTCCCCATCACCACCCCATCACCACCCCCTGTCCCACAATCACCATCCCGTCACAGCCCTGTCACCGTTTGTGATTCGCCGCCGCCAGTCTCACCGTCATCGCCATTCGCCGCGCGAGCTATTGACCGGGTGATGATCGGTCGTCCCTCCATTCACGACCAATTGGATTCGCCCGCCGGGTCAATCGTAGCGAGCAAATCAAAGGCACAGATAATGTAGCACATTATACCTATGAAAGCAAGTCAATTAGCGGAATAATTCGAGAGGATCTGGGATAAACAATAATTATGGAAGCCAATATTGTTTGTTTTCTACCTTTCGATTACGCTTAGATCCGAGTGAACATCACGTACTATGTATAGCTAAACGGGATATTCAAATGAAAATGCGTATGGTAACTCCCATTTACTATCGACTATATATGGTCTGTTCACTGAAGAGGCCACGGCTGTCGTATTTACCCACTCGTCACTGAGGGCCCCGGCGGGCAAATCTCAGCCGACACTAACTTGGCCGGCTGTTTGAAGTGCCCCGGATGGCGGCAGCTGTGTGTCAAACTTCTCCGAGCCCGCCCGGGCCGTGCATGATTTAGAGCTTGGTGCTGGCCGGACGTCGGGGCTTCGACCGCAGTTCGGGCTCATCACAGCTGGCAGGAGGGCTGCGGGGACTCCGGGAACTGAGCGGCGGAACGACTTCACTATGCCGCCGCAGAGTACCGGCGAGTTCCGAGTGTGTCCGGAGCTCCAGCGGGGCATCGTCCAGGTTCCACCAGACCGTGCGGCGCCGATGGAGTCAACATGCTGCGCTGCTCAGTCGCAATAAGTTGACAGCCTTGAATTGTGATATAGCCGTACTATGGAGCTGAAGAAGCGGTTCAAGAAACTCGCAACTCTAATCGACTTCAAGCAGTCCCTAGTGACCTCGACGAATCCTTGACGACCTCAAGGGACTCTGAGTGACCCCTCCCACGTCCAATCTCAGGAACGGCCGTGCCGACGGGGTTCACAAGTAGCCCTGCTGTCGAGTCCAGGTTCGCCGTACTATGTATATCGACCCGGGCCTTGAGCTGGTGTTCGACAGCCCACCCTCCCGGGACCTAGAACCCGCCGCCACGGTTGGATAATGGATCAGTCCCTCTACTTGACAGGCGCTGGGCCGGGACCGGTGACTTAAATAATGGGATGGTCTGACAATTTACTCTGTTCCTACCACAAATAGCTGAAGTTTGGGGAGAGCGAACGATAATGTTGAAGTCATTAATAAAGAAATACTATTTTACCTTACTCTTCTTTGTATAATATAATACTTCCAAAATCCTTCTTTAGTGTCATTTTGACTGAGTTGCTTTAATTTCAATTGGGAAACAAATGATCTCCAAAACCTGTTCAGCAAGTGAGCATTGCTCGCCTCTAAAAACTACCATCTCCGATGACAACAAAGAAGTCAATCAAACAAAATTGGTAACATGGACGCAAACGTTCTGCCAGCGACGGTAATTAGCACCGTCGCTTGCTCAAAATCACGCATTTGCGGGTGTTGCACATTTCGTTCGGGACACTGATCTTACACTATGTCAAGTCTTTCCAGAATAATGGGCTGTAATTCCATACTCAAACACTTATCACTGTTGACCTAACTTAGTGAACAACTAAATTTAACTTCGCAGCGACGGCATTATGTTTCTGTAAGGGTTACACCTCATCAATGGAGTCGGCAAGTTTGTGACGAGTGTTGATTGGAGGTGTTACTGCGGCAACAGACATTTACATATTGTGGGACTGAAACTGACAGTCATTGCTTGGACACGATATGACAAAATACAAGGTAACTTAATATGAAAGATATGAGGTCTATGTCGGCAACATTCATGCAGTATTATCTATGTACATTGATCATTGAAATGAAATGAATAGCTTTAAGTCTACCTTCGGCTCCAATAAACTTTTCCCTAAGGCGCCTGCAAGATGTGCTTCAATCCAACTGAGAGCACGCTGCTCAGAAACCTCGCAAAAAAACATACTCGGCTACGCTAGTCACGACCCATTTTTCGGATTTAGCAGCATCACTAATAAAAAACGCCACTTTCACTCTAATACCAGTAAAACGCCTTTTGGGCGAAGAACGAGCGAGCGAGATAGTGAGCCCTGCACGTGCAGAAGGGCGAGAGGGTACTTCCAACGGGCTTGTGCAAAGCACCCTTCTAACCGCTCGCAAGCGGTGTGCCAAATTTGAACGCAATCGGCCTAGCCGTTCCTGATATCTGGAAGCGGCATTCTGCACGTGCGCACGTGCAAACGGGGTCCAAAATGACTTTTGCACGGCACCCTACTAACCGGTCCCCAACCGTGTACCAAATTTGAGCGCAAACGGCCCAGCCGTTCTCGAGATCTGGAAACGCCCCCTGCACGTGCGCACGTGCAGTAGCACCCTAACCACAACACATGGGAATGCATTGCCTGGTGGGTGCCTACCTGTATCCCAAGTTTCAGCGAAATCGCCCCAGTAATTAGCGAGTTACTGAAATGGGAACAAATTTGGCACCTCTTCTTTTGTATTTTGCACGTGCAGTGGGGGTCACTCGCATAGATCAGGAGTATCCGACCTTTGGTAGAAGGGATGCAGCTACCCTATAAAAATTACCGCAAGACAATCGCTCAAGCCGCTGCTGAGATATGGGCCTCTCAAAATCATTACTTTTGCAAAACTGCTTGAACACCCTTGACTTTTCACGTTGCACGTGCCACGACGGTTGTAGAGATGTATCAAAAGTAGTCAATTACGGGGTAGAAGGGATGGGGCTACCCAGCAAAAAAGACCGCAGGCCAATCGGTCCAGCGGTTGCTGAGATATAAGCCTCTCAAAAGCGTTACAGGCCGGGCCGGGCCGGGCCGCTCATACTGAGATTTTTCCGTTATATTGAAAAGACTTCGCTTCGCTCGCTGCGCTCGCTCGCTCGTAACCAGAGCAACCCCCTCGCTTGTGTAAAACATAGGCATAGTGGAAGGATCGATTAACCAATATTAAAAAAAAAACAATGGCCCCACAATCAAGGTGCCCCTCAATCCCACAAACAACTAAACGCTACTTACTGCATTTTCCGGCGGTGGCGACGCGCACATCTGCCTGTCGATGGCAGGCGCGCAGTCTCAGCTGGCAGGCATTGTGGTAGGTGTCGCCGTCCGTTCCGCACACGGGTTCGTACCGGCTCGGACACCGCTCTGGACAGGAGCACGAGGTCCGGCCGTCCGGACCGGTCTGACACTGACCGCCGAACGGGCAGCTCGAGTCGTCACAGGAGCCTGTGGAGAGCGGGGACAGTCGTCACAGGAACCTGTGGAGAGCGGGGACAGTCGTCACAGGAGCCTGTGGAGAGCGGGGACAGTCGTCACAGGAACCTGTGGAGAGCGGGGACAGTCGTCACAGGAGCCTGTGGAGAGCGGGGACAGTCGTCACAGGAGCCTGTGGAGAGCGGGGGAGCTCGAGTCGTCACAGGAGCCTGCGGGGAGCGGGGTGGGGTGATAGGTTAGCGCGAGAGAGAGAGAGAGAGAGAGAGAGAGAGAGAGAGAGAGAGAGAGAGAGAGAGAGAGCGAGAGAGAGAGAGAGAGAGCGAGAGAGAGAGAGAGAGAGAGGGAGAGAGAGAGAGAGAGAAATATTTTTTTTTGTAAGCAGCATCTATAAAATAGTTTACATGCAGAAGCTGAGTGGTTCTGCATTTCGACAGCGTGGAGAAGAGGAAGAGCATACAAGAACAGAACAATATGCAATAGGAAGATGAGCCAGAATCGATACGCTGCTAATCGTTCCGGCAAAATATTGGCACCATTGGCAGCGCTGAGTGATGGCCATATTGCCTGTTGGCGCAGCTCTCAGCGTAAACAGATTAATAAGAGATATTATGACGCATTGATAGTAACACACTATTGATGTCGACGTCATATCAAAGTGATGTGCATAGTCAGAGCTGCACGAGCTAATATTGATCTCTTGTTGCCTACTGAGCAGACTGTATGCACACAAAATATGCATTGAATAAGATATGCTAAACTACACAAATATGAATGCATAGCCAAACAATATAGGGACCTAATCAACTTATATGCTACTGCAAATTACGACAGAAATGTTTCAAATGGCGCATCACACAGGCGACTATAAAATCGCTATTAATGTAACTACCTTTTACATCAGAATGCCTCACCATCATATTTTTCAGTTTGAACACAAAAGTGATTGCCAGACTTCAGACCAGGCTATCGGCGGCTGCTCCTCTGTGAGAAAAACACGCGATTCCTCGTTTTAAGTGTAAAACGACGCGTCGGAGCTCGGGCGCGGCGCGATGGATTATTTTGCCGGCGGTTCGTTCCAACTTTTTAGGGCGGCGCAGCGGCGTGACTGTTGTTGCGGTCCGAGTTGGAGCCACTCAGCGGCTCGCCGTGGGCGCCAAATGTGTGCGGTCGTCTCGGGAAGAGCTGCCTGGGTCCGCTGGAGAGCCGAGGGCCGTTGCCGGCGACCGCCGCCGCGGTGGCGGGCGCTCTATAAAATGTGGCGCACCATCAGCGCCGGCCGCCGGCGCAGCGTCCGAGTGATTCCGCCGAGAAAGGTTCATTTCGACGCCAATTTAGAGGCCGGTTGTCGGGCGCTCGAGCAGTGTTCGTGGCACGCGTGACTGTCCATTTTCACCCGCTGTCCCGGCCGGTGGCTTTTCACACCCGCCCCCGAGCCCGCGTTAGTAAAGAGCTATCGGACCACAGGGCCTCTTCACACTATCCCGCACCCAAACTTGGCCATCCAACTTGCGTACGACCTGCGACTATTTTAGGACTCGCATAATTAACCTGCCTCCGTCAACCTAAGACTTTTCATCCCTGATGCTCCCGAGATCTAGCTTCCACCTAAGATTTATCTCACACCAATTTCCCCAGCTTCTCAGCCTTATTTGCAGTCACATTCTAAAGCGGATGCCAACGTCGTACTTTGCCGAACATAATGCCGTAATGTGATTTAGCCTCGCCAGTAAATACGGTCAGTTAATGTCGGCGGCGCCAGAGCGGCGCGGCGCCGTTTGCACGGGCCTGATCCCAGTTAGATTGAATGGGTCTCATTGAGTCCGGTAACCGATTCCGCCGGGAGGGAGCCGAGCCCCGCCGTGTAGCACAGAGGCGAGCTAACTCTGCCCGGCTACATGCAAACCCACTGCGCACCGCAGGCAGGATGGATAGGAGGCGTCTATACGCTAACCCACTGGGTACCGCAGGCAGGACAGAGGCTACTTGTCTATCAGCTTCTTTCGAAGCTGGATTAGAATCCGGATCAGCGGTAAGGGATTACGGGTGTTTCCATGGGCAGCCTAAGCCCTTACGAAGCACTTATCCGGATCAGTGATGCCCATGGAAACGGGTCCACACGATTATCCGTGTGTGCCAGCAGGCGACAGAGGCGAAGCGACCATGCACCTATCCGCTGCATACTCGTACCAAAAGGCTCAAACTCATGCTAAAGCAAGCTAGCCCGACCCGTCTACAATAATAAGAACTTGAAATTAGCTTGCACCTCCCTGATGTACTTCTTTCTTATTGATAAGTACCTTATCGGAAAGGTCAAAGGAAATAAATATAAGATATTTCACTGCTTAGTGCTTACCTTTGGCGAGATTGCGCGCCTCCAGTGGAAGATCTGAAACAGAAACAACAGTAAGTATCTGACACAGATGAAATGTGACGGGCACAGTACAGTGTGGCTTACAACAGGACACAGTGTGAATGTATGTATTTAAGTATTTGATAGAGGTAAAACTCAAACACGGCACAGTGAAAAAAGCCGTAAATATCGGCAAAGTAAACCAAAGAACGAATCATGAAACGTTGCCCGTTTACTGCAAGTATATTACGCTGCTTTCAATATCTGTTCCAGCCGCCATAAAAATAACGGCTTGATCAAGAATATGCTAATGACGGGTTCTCAGCTGCATAAAAGCAGGCTTCCATCATCTCTGTGCGGATTTTGCATCAAAGAGCACTTAGCACAACGTCTTTCTCGTCTGCGCAGCTTTCCCCAGAAATCACTGGTCATGTCCTTAATCCAGACAAATGGCCTCGACATAACAATAGGAAGCCTCGCTACCCTTCTCCGCCGTAAATAGGGCCCGGCCGCGAGAAATACATAAATAATGCATGATGCTCCATGGCGAGTGGACCCCGGCGGGCGGCGATTAGTTATTACCGCCATCTTTCATCGCAAACAAGACAGCGGCCAACGGCTGGAGGACAGCGGTCGAGCATTGGCGCACACAGCGGTGTATGGTGACCCGTGATTACCTTACTGATATTCAGACAGGCGGTTAAGAGTGAGCTGCGAGGGGAGTGGGAATGATAAACGGCGAGCGGCAGAGATAGCCACCGGTTGTCTGTGAGTGATTTTGCTCGGTCTGTCGACAGGGAAATCCCGGGATTTCACCGTGATCTGAGGCTTATTGAGCTCCTTTTGAGCTATCATTGCCATCAAATATAGTGGTCGTCACTAACCAGCATTCTGACCTATGACTTACATCCTGGTCTATATGTTACGGGCCAAGTGCGAAGGCTAGTCCGTTTGCGAACGGACTAGTCCATTCGCGAATGGACTAGGCCGTTTGCGAATGGCGGTCCGTTTGCAAACGGACTAGTCCGTTTGCGAATGGCCGGCCATTCGCGAATGGCCTAGGCCGTTTGCGAACGGACGGGTTTGTGGCGTTGCACTTAGCCGCCGGAAGCATGGATCCTCGGATTGGGGTACGATTCCGAATGAATGGGGGACCGCTGGTCGATGCAGGGGCGTCGCCGACGGGGGGGGGGTCGGAGGGGTCCGGACCCCCCACACACACATTCTTGAAAATATGCCGGTCCGACGCCCCCTCCCCCCCCCTACACAGACACTTTTGGCCACGAAAATCGATCAAGAATAAAATAAAATATTTAAAAAAACGATTTTGGTGCATTCTCAAAATAAGATTGTCTAAATCCGAGGAGTTTTCAGTATTTGGTGGGGATTACTTTGACTGACCGTCCGACCAGATCCCCTAGTCGAAAATCCGTGGCGACGCCACTGCGTCTATGTTTAGTTTGTTCTCCGGAGCAGATCTGCGAGCTGGCGCAACTCTGGGTTAAGGTCTCCACACACCTGGTCCATTCGGGATGAGACTTTCCGCTGAACCCTGCACAACGCGGAAATTATAGCAACGTGTTGCCGCTGGAAGACGCTGTTGAAGACGGGTACATCGTGGGCACCGTCAAAGGAAGACTAGATGGCGTGTACAGCCGTCACAGTCTTACACCATGTACGGGACGCTTTATTGCGTCATCGGATGTTCCTTCCGGGGCCGCAATTACCCTTCGTGAGTGTGCCCGGCTCATGTCAACGACTGGGGGACAAGGCATGTTTACATGGAAGTGCCGAAAGATGTGTACTGGACGGTGTAAATGTATCAAGGCTGGAGTGACATGCACCAGTAGATGTCATAAAGGGGTGGCCGGCAATAAAAAATAGGTAAGTGTCGCACTGGATCAGTGTGTTCTTGAGTTGAGTTTGTTTCACTTCACCATTACATTGCAAGGCTCATGAAATTCATCGTCAGACAATGTTTCCAAGGGGTGAACGCAATGGTGGGGTGAGGTAAAGAAGAGGCGACCTCAGCATGACTGAGTAAGCATTTTCCGGTTGAGTTACCAATACTTTGCACGCATCATTTCACACGGGACTTTGCACATGCCAAGTTAACTTGCCAAGTTGACGTCACTTTGCTGGATATTTCGCACTTGGCCTGACTTCGCACTTGGACTGGGAGCATAAACGCCCGTCCATTCGCAAACGGCCTAGGCCAACTGCAATAACGCACATGGACTAGTCCATTCGCAAACGGCCTAGTCCAAGTGCGTTATCGCACTTGGACTAGGCCATTCGCGAATGGACTAGCCTTCGCACTTGGCCTGCAACATATATATTCTAAATCTGACGGAGGCGGTGACCTATAGCTGAGCTCCGATCACGTATCGGGGCCCTGCTCTCTGCTCATCTGATTCCGAGTCGGCAGATACCTCGGGCCACTCTGGCCGTGCTGACGTGGTCGGTCTCAGGCACGGCTACGACCCTCTCCTGTGGGCGCGCCCGCTACCTCGCGTGGGATGCCGTCCCGGCTGTATCGAATGACGACGCTCTGCCGCCGGGCCGATGGACCGGGCGCTGACCGACTGCGGACACTGCACGTTGTGTGGAAAATACTCACCGGACCGAGTCCCCGTGTGTTTATTGGGGCAGGTGTGGTTTCTGAAATCAACGCTGGACGTATTTTGACGATTTTCAGTAAACGGATGCTAAAACGTTAGTTATGTCGAAGAAAACGGCACATCGATGTGGAGAGGGCTATTGCTGGGTCTCGATATCAGGGCCTGCTTTTGTTTATGAGCTAGAAACATGACAATGATATAATTCAAATCCAATCAAGTTTAACCAGCGCCAGTTGAAGGTCATGCAAGTGCAATTAACCCTCGCCCATGTAGGGGGGGGGGTTGGTGCAACCCCCCCCCTGAGGTTTTCCGGAAATAGTGCAAAAACGGCGGCGCGCAGCGCCGCCAAATTTTGGGTACCTTATGGGGCAAACCTTGCGCATCTTTTGATAAAAAAATTTGACCGGGTCATGTCAGGTCACGGAGTTATGACGTCACAAAGGGAACAGCCTCCGGCCGGATTTTCACAAACTGAGTGCCAACGCCCGAGGTTTCCTGCCGGTGGTACGGACATCGGTTGATGGATCGTGATGAAACTTCCCATGCATGTTGGGGCAAGTATTGGCTATCATATGGTATAAGAAACTTGACCGGGTCAGGTCAGGTCACGGAGCTATGACGTCACAAGAGGAACAGCGTCCGGTACTATTTTTGAAAAGCGCCCGAACCACTATTTTGCTAATTCTTGTCACCTCAATGGGAATATGCAGCAATATTAGCTTCTATAGGGAGCAAATGGACCTTCCAAATCCAAAAATACAATCAGATTTCAAAAATTTAAATTTTGATTTTTCGAATTTCTGCCGCCGACTGTGACCTTGCCGACTTCCGGCGCTCCCAACGCGCCATTTTTAGAGCTAGGGAAACGAAATACATACCAAACGATAGAGAATTGATCAAGGAACACGATAGTGAAGGTTTCAAGTCGATATCTCCCACCGTTTTGCCGCAATCGCCGCGGAAAGTTGAAAAAAGTCTATTTTTCCGAAAATTTGACCTTTGACCGGTCAAAAGTAGGTCAAATGTTGACCTAGGACCAAAAAATATACCACCAATCGCGAGATCTCGGCGAGAGCAATCCGTTGGTCTTTTCCGCTAAGCTCTACGACGCTCCGTTTTCAAACGCCAAGGGGGGGGTCGCACCAACCCCCCCCCCCCCTGCATGGGCGAAGGTGGCAGATCGCCGTTTACGGGCGAGGGTTAAGATAGTGCCCATTGACCATCATTTTCGACAATATAATTATCTTCTAGCCCATTACCGTAGCGCTATAGCTCGGGCCGTAAGCAATATCTATCCAAACGCCTCGTATAGTTAACATCCTCTCCAATGCTGCCATAAATAACATATAGCCTCCGTTGTTGTGTTGCTGCAGATATGAGACATTTTTAGAGCTTGTGATCGATACGACTTTTCAAAGTAAAACACTGCAGAGTGCAAAATGAAGATTCCTCTTCCATCTGCAAATGCACTTCACTTCAAACATTGAATGAGTGTGAGGGGTCATACATTAGGTATCGTCTTGCTCCAATGCTATAGGTATTTTTTCTCGATGTTTGAACATTGCTCACGTCATAGTCCAATGCCTATTCTGAGTTCATTATCACCTGCAATGCCGTGAGTTCAGTGTCACTCTTGTTCAGTGTCATCCTGCCGTTAACTCAGCGTCAGCCTGCTATGAGTTCAGTGTAACCCTGCTTCCAGTTCCTGAAGCTGCGCAGTGGCAGTAGGTGACTGTCGGGGCCGCCCCACAGGACGGTCCGCCGGTAAAAGGTCCCGCGGGTGCAATGTCCGACGCTCACCCGCTGCTAAAATACGGTCTACCGGAAGCGGAACAGCGCCGCCGGCAAATGTGTTGTCAGAAATGGCCTGACCCACACCGCTGCGGGTGAAAATGAGTTCCCGGTATAGACAACGAGAGCTACTTGCCATTCTAAATGGAACGGAACACGTCGCCCCAGGCGCATTTCATTCTGTGTTTGAAGATATTCCTTTACAAAAGTTATGCGCGCCATAAAAGCGTCTCGGGAATGATATAGCTGGAAATCCTCAACTGCGTTTACGTTGTCAGCTATCGTGAGTTACTCGCAGTGGAAATCGCACTGCTCTAACGGGGACGAATTTATAACAATGGCCCACGGCTGTGGATCGCTGATATGTAGTTTCAAATCCTGCCCGCGCGCAGAAACTACGGGATCTATCCAAGCCGCGCCATCGACTGATTCGCTGCATGACGTTGACTATTCATAAGCTGAGTATAAATGCAGTTCAGTGGGTGGACGGCCAGCGTCGGTACGCTGAACTCAAAGCTGTGTTATTTACAGTATCCAATGCACAGGAAATGGTAACTACGTGATAATAATTATGTCAATGGTCAATTGTTCTGAAAAATATAGTATTTTATGCAAAATATGTTCCATATTATTTCAACAAGCTACTGCCATGCATCGAAGATATGGTTTGCTTATTTACAAAAAAAAAAAACGTATTTCGTACGCACGGGTAGCCATATAGCATGGTCAATAAACTTCCTCAAGTCAATTTGATATGCTATTCAAACCTGTACTATTGCACCTTGAAACAGCATTTAAAGATAAACAACACGGTACCTACTTACTTTTCTATGAGAGGTATTTCACAGCCGCCAAACAGGATATGGTTTAATTACGCCTCCAGTCATCAAATTTTGCCAGTTCCGACCTTCAGCCCAACCTCGGTAACCAATTAAATTATAGCGAATTACGATCAGCGCTGTTAAAGTGGTCTCTAGTTACATTACCATGCCACTTCAGACGTGCAAACGAACTAAAAAAAGAAGAAGAATGAAGTGACGAAATGCAAGTTACAAGCAAATGAGGCTTGTAAGCAAAACAGATGAATAATAGCAAACAGACCGCCAACCGATAAAAACACACACAAAATGAGAAGTTCTACCAAACACAGGAATGAATGACACATATGCGAGATATAGGATACAAGATAGATTAGAGACGAGAGAGAGAGAGAGAGAGAGAGAGAGAGAGAGAGAGAGAGAGAGAGAGAGAGAGAGAGAGAGAGAGAGAGAGAGAGAGAGAGAGAGAGAGAGAGAGAGAGAGAGAGAGAGAGAGAGAGAGAGAGAGAGAGAGAGAGAGAGAGAGAGAGAGAGAGAGAGAGAGAGAGAGAGAGAGAGAGAGAGAGAGAGAGAGAGAGAGAGAGAGAGAGAGAGAGAGAGAGAGAGAGAGAGAGAGAGAGAGAGAGAGAGAGAGAGAGAGAGAGAGAGAGAGAGAGAGAGAGAGAGAGAGAGAGAGAGGAGAGAGAGAGAGAGAGAGAGAGAGAGAGAGAGAGAGAGAGAGAGAGAGAGAGAGAGAGAGAGAGAGAGAGAGAGAGAGAGAGAGAGAGAGAGAGAGAGAGAGAGAGAGAGGAGAGAGAGAGAGAGAGAGAGAGAGAGAGAGAGAGAGAGAGAGAGAGAGAGAGAGAGAGAGAGAGAGAGAGAGAGAGAGAGAGAGAGAGAGAGAGAGAGAGAGAGAGAGAGAGAGAGAGAGAGAGAGAGAGAGAGAGAGAGAGAGAGAGAGAGAGAGAGAGAGAGAGAGAGAGAGAGAGAGAGAGAGAGAGAGAGAGAGAGAGAGAGAGAGAGAGAGGATATCAGTCAAGTAAACTCAAGATATGAAGCTGCTTCTTGAGATATTCTTCAGTCTCATCGCATACACTGCTAAGCATATCGACAATTTTCCTAAACAGGATCGCAAACAAATGCCTCCTACGCAATTACGCATCCTTTCTTCAATATTGAATCTGCGCACCCTGTGATCCCGGTCTCCATCTCATCTGTCCGGCGGGGCGTCAGCGTCGCTCCCCGCCCCCAGCTCAGCGGCCACAGTGCTCATAATCGTCCCCGTCCGGCACGGACACCCACGAGCACGCCTTCACGCCATCCCATCCGGGCCCGATCGCCGCGCCTCGAAGGGACGGCCGCTGGCGGTGCGCCGAGTCGCTGCTCGCCGCCGTCGGGCAGGACGCGCGCGGCCGGCGGCTCGAGACGAGCCCGCATCGATTGTGTCGGCCGTCCGCGGCGGCGGCGGCGGCGGCGGTGATGGCGGCACGGGAGGCCTGGCCCGTGGTGGGAGTCCCTGGCGATCCGCTGCCTGCCTCCACCGCCACCGCCCCCCCCCCCCTCCCTCTTTGGGTCACGGTGTGATAATGCGGCGCAATTAAGGGTGCAGGCTCACCGCGCGCCCAGCGCTAATTCCCGGCCCCCTCTGACAGCCGAGACGCGCCGCCGCGCCGACCAACGAGTCTGTGTTGGGGGGGGGGGATGGTCAGGGAGCGGGTCTGTGGAGGTGTGATGGTGTAGACATTTCGTGTCTTTGATTATAGGCGAGCCGATTTGGCCGATTTGAATTCGGCAAAATCAGAAACTCACGCTTTGGCGTGAGTTGTGTTGATATTGTAATGATATGAATGGTACGCCAATTCTTTTTTACACATGCCTGTGAAAATTGATCATATATTCAAGGCTACAATAATTAAAAAACGTTCTCATTTTTTCGAATCAATTCATGTTTTGAAAACATGACATGTGATAAGAAATGTATAAGATACCAGTGGTCATTGGTCAATGTCTAATCCTTAACGAATGACGAAAAGGAGGCTTCAGGATGTGGGAAGGATTACTGAAAAGAGCCTAACATTTTGCGAACATTTTACGAGACGTCACTTGCATCATGATGCACATAAATAATGCACAAGCCCTTAGGCGCTGTCTTGCGCTTTTCACATCACCTTATGTGGTAAATATGAAGTGCCTGCCTGTGAGAATTTTCAGCAGCGCACTCGCAATTGCCACCGAATAAAAGTGGTGGGCTAATTGGACAGGGGGCTACGGAGTAAAATGCAATATCGAACTATTGGACAATGCGTAACACTAACCTAAATTCTGCACAGAAAACACACCACCACACAATTTCAGTCTTACTTTGCCCCTGACGTGAAGGGAGCTAAGGTCAGCAATTTAAACGATAACGACACCGTAACGAATGACCACCACAATTACCTCATATATTGGCGCTCTCTCATCTAACGGTTGATAACGCCATCACTCTTAGTAGATCCATCGGCCTGGTGACAGGACCGAACTCTGTTCGGACTCCGCTCACACTAAGAACGCCGCCCCGAGGCCAGCCGACAGCTTGATGGATACTGCGGCCAGATCTCCAGTTCAATTTCTCCGGTCTCTTTTCAGACCGCCAGGCCTAGTGCGTCTTCCCAGAAGAGAGTGGATTTCAGGCGACATGCTTTTCTCGTGTGTCGGTTTTGTACTGAAGCCCATTTACGTCTCAATGTGTAAAGGGTAGGCGCAAGAAGGCCCTAGATAAAGTACCCCAGACTCAGGGAAGAAAACATATATTGAAGAGGCGCCTACGGCCAGGCGATGAAGAAACCACAGGGAAAGTGGTTATATTGAGAAAAACAAATATTGAGGGAAAATGCGAGAGAAGCTAGACTGGTGTCAACGCCAACACTAAAACTTTTTGCGGTTGTAACATATATAGGTAAACAGCAAATAGGTCATCATATTTCAAACCAAAGTAATTCAAAATGGTGTATTTAGGAAAACTTAAAACAAAATAGTCATGCATTTTACGCCATGCACTCTCTACCAGCTCCGGCCACATGCACACGTGTATCTACGACACTGACTGTTGACGACCATCCGTCTCCATACTCACAGTTGAGCAGCAGCAGAATGCTAGAAATGATGACAAAGATGACGACGAGTGTGACCAGCAGCGCTAGTACCAGCGGGATGCGACAAAGAGTCCGCGAGCACAGCTGCTGGGCACAGCCGCCGGGCGACCTGCGGCCCTCAGCGGCCTCCACGAGATCCGGTTTACTGTCCTGGAGCTGCAGTGAGCCAGGGAACACGGGCTTGTCCGCGCGGCCGCCGCTACCGACACCACCACCACCAACACCACCACCGACACCACCGACACCAACACCACTACCGACAGCGCTGCCACTGCTGACGAAACCGCCCGTGTCCAGTCCGTCCTCACTGATCGTGTCCGGTGTGTAGGTGAAGGGGCGGCCTCGGTTCGGCGCCGGGACCACCCCGTAGCCATCGGCGTGGCTGCGTAACTCACTCTCGAAAGTCCCCACCTCTCGGTAGAAGTATTCGGGATATTGGTCCCCACCGCCGCCCGCGCGGCCATTAGAGTACATGGTTTGTGCGCTGATCACCATCTCGTGAGGTCACGGAACTAACAGAGACACCTAGGTCAATGAGGTTCAATGCAATGACCTCTGCCGTTTCGAGCGTATATTTGACTCACTGCCATCTTGACTACGCCTGGAACGACCGATTGTTTAAGTCGTGAGAAAGGGTGCGAGAAGAGGAGAGGAGAGAAGAGAGAGCGAGAGAGAGAGAGAGAGAGAGAGAGAGAGAGAGAGAAAGAGAGAGGGAGAGAGCGCTGCCGACCCCGCTCGCGATGGTGTTTTGGAAAAACGCTGCCGGCCAATTTGGCCATACTATTTATCAGGGGCATGTTCACTGTCGGGCAGACAAGCCAGTCAACGCAAAATGGAGCGCTGCGCGAGAGAAAACTCGGGGGAGCCACGGCCAGACGCAAGAGCACGATGCAAGCAACAAAATATGCAAAGAAATTAAAACGAGGGACGGATGATGGAAGCACCCCAGCGTCCGGATATTCGTTTTGTAGCTCGTTTTCCTGCGGAGGCCAAGTTCTGTCGCCGTACCCCGGGGACAGGTAAACAGGCGGCAGACAAGTTTTAAAGTCGCCGCGCTGTTGGCTGACATTCGCTGATGCACGAGTCCGCCACGAAAGACGACCATTCCGAGGTCCGCACTGCACTCTGGGGTGTTGCATGGCAGCGGACGCTGCTTAGGGGCAGGCCGAGGGCAATAGACGTTGAGTGAAACTGCTCATTTCATGTTTATATACGAGCCGTTTTGCTTACAGGGTACCACTATCGCAATTGCACCAGAAAGACATGGTGAGGGCCCATTTACTGCGTATTTAAGAGAATTGGCGACCCAATGACGCCGTGGGGGTCTTGCTAAACTCCCTGACATGAACGACCTCATCCTATTCATGATTGAACAAATTGAAACCAATCGTCAACTCCCAAAGGCAAACGTCTTTTCGTGCGATGTCATTAGGACGCGACGTCCCTCGACGTAAATGATTAACGACTAGGTTTTGATCTGTGCAGTGAGCATATCTTGAACTTCATACGGATTGTTGCGTATGATCTCAGGGTTGGCATGAAAAATGCTGGAAACATTTATTTTCCAGTCAAGAGTGGAGCTTTTCCAGGGAAGTTGGTGGGGCAAAAAGTCGTCAAACCTACAATGTCCAATTGTTGAGTTCGATTAAGTGCAAACTGTTAGATTATTCTTTTCATTACAGAGATAATGTTTGACATCAGACATTTCAAAACTCCCCAATGCGAAAAATATTGGTTAGCTAATGCAACAAGATCCTAAGAGTCAGCTTAAGTTGGTGGGGCAAAACACATATTGGTGGGGCAAAATGGCAAGTTGATGAGGCAGCCGCCCCACCAACTGAATAGGAAGCTCCGCCAGCATGTTCCATCTGGAACCTTTTGTCCGTAAAACAGACAACAACTTGAAAGTACAGGGTGATTTTTTTACAGGGCAAAAAGTCTTTAAGCCTAGTATAGTATATCTACGTGAAAGGAAATTGTTTGTCATTTTGTTTTCAGGACCTTTTAGAGACTTCTTGGGACTCATTCTGTTGTCGAGTTCCGTGAAAATGGCGCACAACAAAATGTTTTCCCCTAAATCGCCAATTACTCCAGGCTTGCGTGCATTAAAACTGTGCTCACTTCGAGCACGTTCTGTAAGCCTAAACGGAGCTCAAACTCAAAGCTTTTGTCTGCAAAGGAAATGTCAGAATGTGCTTAGTACAAAGATATACATTTGCTGTCAGTCGATGTGTTTTCTGGTACCACCATTGCACTTTACTTTTTGCCCTGTATAAAAAATCACCCTGTATGTCATGTATGCATACGAGCATGAAGATAGCGGCCTCAGATGTATCTCACTAAAGTGTATTTTTTACGGTGGACGGATCCAAAAACAAACCCAAACTACAAACAGTTCCGGAGATAGACTGAACCAACAGAATCAAAAGAGCCTACCATCTTACAATTGATACCATTTCTAATGGCCGCAGGAGATGCCTCGCCACGAATTCCAATAAGTTTCGATGAAGGCGTTTTTGATGTAGCTTCCGGCTGCGGCGCGTCTATAAATCAGTGAACAGTCGGCTCTGCCGCGCGTCTGTTTTTGATATACGTTTAATAAGTCGGACGCGCTGAGCCGGCCTGATTGACTGTTCAACGATGGCGGCTGACGGGCTGACGGATCGCCCTCATTGGTCGGTTCGGCCGCAGGGTGGCCGTCGATTCGTAATGCCGGCACATGCTGACAGAGCTATATAGGACAATAGGACATGGTGGGCCACCATATCCCGCGACCTGGTGGGGAGGGGGCTATTTTTTGCCCCCCCCCCCTCCAGACTTTTCGATATATCTCCAGAACCGCTGCGCTGATCGTCACCAAACTTTCAGTACCCTCCCGGACATCAATTTTACACATGGTGACCAAAAATTTTTCCAAAGGCTATGATAGGTTGGCCGGAAATGACGTCAGAGTGACGTCATGTTCTGCCGTTTTCGACCCAAAAAAGGGTTTCGCGGGAAGAGCTGTCAGGCCTATAGCTTTGCAAATACAGAAAAATGATAAGAACATAAAAGCTGTAGAATTGAAAGGGCTACAAAACTGCTATCTCGGGTTTGTGAAATTTTTGGATTTTGACCCCTAAAAATCAAAAATAGATTTTTTGGATATTATAGTCGAAAAATCCAAAAAGCTTTTTGAATTTCGCAAAAACCGGAATATATGTGATAGTCCTTACCGCCTTCCATCCACATACCAAATTTGAGATTGATACCTCTTTTTTGGCGAAGTTATAGTGAAAAAACTGTTCAAAATTGATGACGTCAAATTTTCAAACTCAATGTTTAGCAATTCTAGACCCCGTAGCGCAAAACAAAGACCACCATTAGACTCCCCGTGACGAGCTGCATCGAATCAATACCCATTTTATGCAAAACTATCAACTTTAAAATTTGACCTTTTTTGGCCTGACCTTGACCTGACCTTGACCTGAACTTCACCAGAAAGTGACCTAAGCCGTACCTGATAGTCTTATAACCAACACCATTGAGTTGGAAATGAAAAATTGGCCATAAAACATGCATCACACAACCTTAGTAAAGTTGGGCTCATGTGACCTGACCTGTGACCCTTGGTGACCTGACCTGTGACGTGACCTGGTATTGTCAGTGACCTCTAATAGCAACATATCTACTAGGCAACTGACGCCCTATCGCTGATTCTCGACAAAATGCGTTTTCCTCGGTGTTATAGCGCATTCCCTAGAAGACCCGTGAACGGTGAAACATTTCATCTTTGACCTGACCTGTGACGTCATTGGTGACCCCGAGGTCAATGAAATTTGGTTTTCTTCGACAAGTTTTACAGGCCTTTCGAACGCCGTTTGAATTTTGCGGATCCGTCCAGTAGTTTCGGAGATACGAGGGGGGGCAAAAAATAGCCCCCCCACCAGGTCGCGTTATAAACAGACCCCACCAGGGCGCGGGATATCGAGCCCATATACAGTGACTTGAGCATGTGTCGATCCACACCATAATAGCAAGTAGCGAGAGAAATGTTTCCAAATGTAAGGAGTTCAGCATCAACGAGTGGCTTTTTAAATGAGCCTTGTCAAAATACTGGAAAGTGGGTGCCAAAAAATCAACATGTATAGCTGCAATGGCCTTTGGAAAAGCGCACAAAATGAAAAAAAAAAATGTTCAGATGGATTTAATCAGATCAGACGATATTAATAGCCTTGTTTGTCATGAGCAGGTTGTAATTATTTGTCATTCATGCAGCGATGTCATTAGAGAAATATTGCAGACCCCGTACTGTGGAAAGTCTATCCGCTCGGGAATATGCCCAAACTGTGAGTCGACGTCACCTTCATTGACGGTAGCCCTGACGCCGAGGAATACAGGGCGTCAATCTTAATTTACACCACAGCAAAGCCGAGTATTCCTACTGCGGGGAGCTAATGCAGAGTGATACCTGGTGATGCAGAGTGATGCAGAGCTCTATACAAACCTACCCACTATGAAAACCTACCATAAAAACACTAAAATTCCTGATTAATCAACACATCAAACATGTATCTTTTAGGTGCCCGCTATTCCGTCGTGAAAACGGCTATCGTGGAAAAGAGAAATGCTGACATAACATTTTAATCCGTTTATAACTATTTCTTTAAATAAAATAATATGTTTTGGTTCAACATTGACAAATTATGCATACAAGTGGGTCCGGTGTCATTTAGTGTTTACAGTCACTGTGGAATGCGGCAGCGTCTTCCTTAAAAATTAACATTCACCAATGCTAGGAACCCGGAAACTAACAGACATTGACCTAGTCTATCTTCACAAATTCCATCACGCAATCGTCTCACTGCGCATTTATCCAAGAGCCAATGAAGAAATGCACGTGAAGCAGCCCATCCATTGCGATTGGCGTCTGCCTGCCGCCCCCGTCCGCCGCTCTCCAGAGACCAGTCAGAGTCGCCGGAGCGCCAGAATCGCCCACGGCGCGCACCAACTGTCGCCATGTTTCACCCGCGCCGCGATGGCCGCACACGGCCAGCCCGCACGCCGATTTCGCCGTATTTGCGAGTTCGCGGCGTTGGCGACGTAAATTGGTGACGGAAAGAGTAACGGCTTTCGGGAGGCTTTCCATCCGGCGAAGATAAGTAACTTTCCGAGTTGGGCTCAGCCCCGGGGAGCTGCTCGAACGAGATGGCTTCTCGCGGCGGCGTCATCCTACAGGACTGGGTGACGTCAGAGACAGAGTGGCGGGGCGGGGCAGAGAGTGGGAGCTGCGATATCAAAGGCGTAATGAGAGCCAGAAGCAAACCCTCCCGATACTGGCCATTTTGACACAAAGAAATCCGTCAAATGTATATATATATATATATATATATATATATATTTTAGAGTTGCAAATAAATACACGGGCATGGGGAACTTGTGCGTGCTACGGGTGCTACACCAGATAAACATTATAATAGACATAGATGTTATGG